AGTCACAATACTCGCTAAATATTGAGCCCACACAATTAAGGTCGTTTACAATATGTGTGGTCACAATGAATTACCTGAAATTTAATTAATCACTAGTTGTCTTTACTTCTTTTGAACTAATCTGCAGTCACCCCTGTAAAGCATGGAGAACGATACGCATATGGCGGATTTCATCATTTGCTGGGAGAATTGGTGAAATTTCACAATCACTTTGGAGCATACTTTCTGCAGTGCGACAATTGTCTCGGCCAGGATTGATGGAGTGAATGCTGCTGAACGAGCTCAGCGCACAAAAATAGAAATGGGTGCCTGACTGATGACTGATGTGCTGCAAACAATACGTTACATCGTGCCTAGGGAACATGAAAGCTCTCTTCCTGTCTTGTGGGTTATTGTCTTTATTTATTTATTATGCCATAATGAGACCCTGCCATATTGCTCATGATCAACGCTTGCTAAAGGGTTCTGGTTGCATTCATCCTAAGGGGGAGTGGGAGAGGAGGCCCCAGCAAAATGGAAGATTTCAGGGGGGCCCGGGCCCCATGGGCCTCCCCCCTGGCTATGTGCCTGGCTCACGTTATGCATGTATGACCAATTATCACAGTTCTCGTCTGATCTGCTATCCGAACACCTTCTAAGCAATGTTTTTTCATTAATGTATTTTTTTCCTTTCAATTAGTTTAGCTATGCCACACCATGGCATCGTGGCATTTTGTGCCTCATGTACCAAATGCAGAAACATCTCTGTCTGATTTATTTTGAATTGTCAATTAATTATGTCTTGCTTTCCAATAGCTTTTGAAGTAGAATTGTATACATATAAAATTACCTATGAAACTAAAATTGCCAGACATGTTTCATTTGCACTGCAAGTGACTCGACATGCATACTCTAAAATACCGCCGAACCGCCCACTTCGTTCAAGCACCCACTTTGTTCAAGCGCCCACTTCGTTCAAGCGCCCACTATTAACATTTCCCAAAATTGGGAATTTTGAAAATTATACATTAATCGCCCGATTTGACTGGACAAGCACCCATGTCTAGATTAACCCAGTTTTCAGTGAAAGTGGTGTGGGTGCTGCCACGGTATTTGGCGCTAGATTTACTTTGTTTGAATTGAATTAAGTTTTCTGTAAGTGTATTTATATTAGGAATCGGGAAGTTTGTCTATGATTTAGATCCAACATAATAAGGAAACAATGTTTCATACATCGCTTACATTTTGCACTGACTTAATTTGTACTAAATGAAAGAAAATGGCAAAGTAAATGCACTGCCACACTGTCATAATTTTTTTTTTTTTTTTTTCGTTTTACAAGAGATAGGAACCTGTGGCCATCCTCACAATTTCCTGTAATACTGTAAACAACTTATTATTTGCGGGCTCAGTATTTCGCGATTTAGGTCAAAGCTGAGGTTTTGAAATAATTTGTGGGTTCTAATTTTTCCGACGCGGTGGGATCTCAATATAGATTCCAATGTGTTTACATTTTACCGGGTTTGTTCGAGGGATCTATTTTTTTTTTGCAAATTTTAGGCAATTCGCGAAATTCTGAAAATTTAGGTCTTCACAAAAATTAAGTCGTTTACAGCATATCCACCATGTTCATTGTTCAACTCTTTACGTACACCTCTCCCCGCCATGATGCCACAAGGAACACAGCAAGATTAGGTGTAAACAAATAATAAAGAATGCTGATATGAAGGAATTGACTATATCAACGGGTGCCCATAGGACATCATGAAATTTCATTTTCAAAAGAAGTTTTCAATAAGCAGCACTTTTTAAAAGTTTCTATATAATTTTAAGCCTGCAAATATACCATCATTTACTGAAGATCCTATATATCTACACCAAAATCTCAATCATTTGCTTGCCATCTCATTTAATCGGTTGTTTCATGATCAAGGCTGTCACCTAATTGCTTAGAATTATGCAAATGGTTTGTTCTTTATAAGGCGCTTTCCATTTTGAATTTTTATTCTTTCTGGTGTGTCATGCATAATGTGTTAAATACGAATGTCGTGAACCTTTTTCTAACCGAAGTTTCGATGATCGAATCAAGCGGTTTGAAAGATTTAGAATTTTTGAACCTTTCTATATAGAAAAATTCGAGGGAAGTCAAATTTTCGCACTTGTTAAACTAAGAAGTTTGATGCCTTTCGAACTTTGCACGTTCAGAAATGCAAAGTTTTTCAAAACTTCAAACTTGTCACACTAAAAAATTCGATCCTTTTCAAACTTATTATGCTGCAAAATTCTATGCTTGTTGAACTTTCGAACTATTCAATGATTTTCTGACTTTCGAATTTTTCGCACTAAAATGTTTGAAGTTTTTGAAACTTTTTATGCTAAGAAATTCAATAGTTTTCGAAATAGAATTCGAAAATTTTTGAACTTTCAAATTCTGAAAAGTCAAAGGTCTGTTGAACTTCGAAAGACCGGCGGGTGGTTTCATTTAGATTAAAATAGTAAAATACATTCATAATTTTTTTTTTTTTTTTCAAATCTTTACATGCGGTGTTTCATTTTTTGCGAAAGACAATGCCGTTTATTTTAATGTTCTGGCATGCTTAGTTTTAAAGAAATAAATTCCCGAAGGAGCGAGGTAGGACGATTTAAATTAACACCACAGACAGTCATCTGTAGAATACAAAATAATGTATTTATTGTTTTTTTTTTCACGTTGAGAAACAAGTTAACTCATGGGAGAAAATTTCTAACATTGTTCAAATTTAGCACGTCATTTAAAAAAAAAAAAAAAAGCATTACAATTTTTTTTTATTTTCTCGCTTTACATTCTTGGGACGTGTTTCTTTTTGGCCTGTACACATATTGGTAGGAGAAACTTGTTCTGAACCTCTGAATATGCAAGAATACAACACTTCCGGCGGGTTCTTGATAGTTTTTTTTTCTTCTCCAGTTTTCATCCCTGCATTTATTGTTATGTTTATTTTTTTTATTTTTTTTTTTTTACCAATGGCACAGTTATTTAGGTTGAAAAGACAGCTTTGAACTTCCAAACCACCGAGCATGTGAGGAGTAGTGCCTTCTGACAATGACCATCTATGCAATCTTTTATGCAGTGAAGAGCGGCAATAGCTATACATATGCATAAATAATTTCAGATTAAAACAAGCTCGACCACGCCTTCTTTCCCCGTATTGTTTTCCTTAACAGTCCAAAATATCTAAACAAGGGGGAAGGGGTTTTTTTTATTGTTTTTCCTCTTCTGACGCCACTGGTATTGTAGAACGCTCCTCGACCTCGAGTTGTGTCGGCATCTGTGCTTTTTGCTTGGCGTTTCCTCTGTCCAGGAAAATAAACCTCCAGAACAATTACAAACTGGTGTATGTTCATCATGATGCAAAATCCCGAGACTGGGAATGAAATTCGCAAGAAATGGTGTAAGAAGAAAGAAAAAAGGGGGCAGGACAATGTTTCAAACTCAGCCGAGTTGAGTTTGAGACGTTGTCCTGAGCTCAGTTTTTAGCTGAGTTGAGTTTGAGACGTTGTCCTGTCCCCTTTTTTCTGTCTTTTTACACTTTTTCTTTTAAATTTCATAGCCAGAGCTGAGTTTAGGCGTTGTCCTGTCCTGTCTTTTCCGTCTTCTTACACTTTTTCTTTCAAATTTCATTCCCAGTCTCAGGATTTTGCATCATGTACATACTAAACTTGCTATATACCAGCGTCACTTGGATGGCGTTCGATGGGATTACTACCAGCATGCAAGGGGGTGGGAAGTAGTTTGCCAGATCGCTTCAAGGTTTTTCTGGGCCTCAACCTCCTGCCTGCTTCTGGCCGTTTCAAACTGGACGAGTATCGTAAAGCAGTGCGTTCGTGTGATCACTACTGCGTGATGCACGTTAAAGACCCCTTCCTCCCCGGGCTGGCGGTCACAAGTACTGATCTATGGTCACGCGTCACTCTGCACTGGCAAATATTCCAGCACATCCGGGACACTCGTCATCTCATTTAAATGCCTGACCAACTTTGCGCACCCAAACTTTTCTAAACCTGATTTCGTGAAAACCAGTGAGGCGTGAAAACGGTACTTGAAACTGAAACTCTGGAGGAACATGAAAACTGGACTTCGAACTTTGCGAAGTTAGACTTGAAAGAAATTCGAAATCTTAAAAGTTTTTTTTTTTTTTCTAATTTAGCCCTAAGAAAGAATTGAAACCTTCAAACTTTTTGAAATTTATGTCAAAAGTAATTTGAAATCTTCGAATTTTTCGAACTTTATGACTATAAAAATTTGAAACGTTTGTATATTTCAGATTAAAAGAATTTAGAAATCTTGGAATTTTTCAAACTTCAGATCCCTAGAAATTCAAAATTTTTGAATCTATAAAATTTTAAGTTCGAAAAGTTGGAAATCTTTGAATTTTTCAAACCTCAAGTAAAAAAAAAATTCGAACCCAAACTTCTAGAAACCGTGAAAGCTTCGAACTTTTCGAATTCGAAACTTCACGGTGTTCAAAAGTTGCAAACTTTTTGAATACGAACCTCGGTACGGTTCGAAAATATCGAAATCTTTGAAATTCAAACGTCAGCTTGGTTAGAAAATATTGAAACCTTTCTAATTCGAACCTAGGGTGGTTTGCGACATCCCTAGTTCTAAGTAGTACACAAATACAGTGCATGCTAAAATCATCACCTGTAAAATTATATGACATATTGCCTTTACAAATTACACTTCGTGGTTTTCTTATTTTTTGCTCCTTCATTTTTGCAAAAGATAATTTATACAAGGTAACCTAAATGCTGTTTTAAATTAACAAGGTATTAAACCCGGGGAAGTATCATTAGCATAACATATTCTCGGTTGCTACTGTGTACCACTCTCTGTCTGACCAGTTGGAAAACTAACAGACGTGTGTTTCCAAAGACTCAGTTGCTTACAGTAAATCAATCTGAGCTTTCCTTTTCCAGCAATGTTTGATTTCGTTGCCGTTGAGATGAAAGCACTGTGTGGCATGCAACTTTGTTCACAGGTGGATGCTGCGGGACTGCTGGCAAAAAGATGGTTGTTGGCGGCTGGGCCTGGGCATGGTGGCTGGTCACGGACGTCCAAAGGTGAGCTGCACCACTCCCTGTTGTCCTGCAAACTGCTGGGGCAATAGTGCAAATAAATATTTTTCTGCATATGGGAAGTTCACCTATTTCGTAGCAGACTGCAGCATGTAGGGATGTACTGTATTGCCAGAGCGCCATGGCACATTGGGAACACGCAGGATTGGCCTAGATCATCTTGATGGATGGGACACTGATGTGAAACAAGGTTTAGAGCTGCCCCCAGTCAGTACAGCACTTGCACAAGTGTCATTTATGATTTTTGGAAATGGTTTGTCAGCTGGCATTTCTGTACCAGCTGTTAAGAAAGCCAGGAGCAGCTTTCTTACACTGCAAGAGGCGAAAGGTGCATAGTAATTGGTTGTGGAAACTCTTTTCTTGATCTCAGCATCAAGCCTTCTGATATTGATTACAAAAGAAACTGAGGTAAGCCACTACATGCAGTGACCACGAAATAGTAAACTGTAAATTAATTGAGAGACAGAAGTCCTTATTTACCTGCCTCACGAGTGCTCCTTCAGCAACTAAATTACCTCATGTTTTAGTAATTATCTTGTTCCGAATTCTTCGGGGTTTGCTCGTAAAGAACCAAGGGAGCTATTAATACTTATAGTACTGCACATTTTCTAATTGACGTGAGAGTGCTCGATGGTAGCTTCGTAAAGTCGTCCCGTGTGTGCTTATGCAGCGGAAGCCGTTTAGGAAGGAGTGGCCTTGAACTCTCGACTTTCGGAGAAGTGCAGCCAATCTACATGTCGGTAGATGATCGAAGCTTATCTTGGATACTATGAGTTTCATACCTGCGCTTGCTGCCAGTAGATGACTGTTTGTTGCAGCTATTTATACTTAGCCAGTTGGTCCGTGCTAACCGACAGTAATATTCCTATGGGCTGCATTTATGCGAGCAACCATGAGTTAGAAGCCTACAACAGGAAACTATATCATTCTCCTCTCCCTCATTAGCTGATATTGTGGCATTTTGAGAACATGGGCTTTTTTTTTCTACTTTTGAGGTCATGGTAGCTTATCTTCTATATTATCCCCAGCAAATCCAACTGTACAGAAGACTGCGGGCACCTTGCCAGAGTGGCATTTGCCTCCCTCGTGACGCCCTGTGTGGCGGTGGTTGCAGGCTGTCCCTGGAGGTGATGACCCTGACTCCTCGTTGTGAGCACGTCGAGACCTCACAGGGGGTGCCCCTGACGGTGACCGGGGTGGCCCAGTGCAAGGTGATGACGGAGCGGGAGTTCCTCTCCACAGCTGCCGAGCAGTTCCTGGGCAAGGACGTCGACCACATCAAGGCGGTCATCCTGCAGACCCTCGAGGGACACCTCCGAGCCATCCTCGGTGGGTGGGAACGAACCCAGGGGCTTTGAACACTGAACCGGAAAGAGGCGTCTGGCACGCCCCGGCGGAGGATTGAGGGTTCATTTCGACTGCTGGGGGATCTTTTGACGTGCAGCCAAAGGCTAGGTTACGAGCCTCCGTCAGATTACGGGCTCCTTGGCCGGTATTGGAACCTGCCGAGACACGTAGGCCGGTGGCTTTGCCTCTGAGGCACCGAGGCGGCTTCTTTTGAGGGGGTGGGGGCTGCCGGAAGCTGCGAGGAAATGCCGACCTACCGAAACTGCCAGGAGAAGAAATAGTGTTCACCAGTTTGTTGCTGCGGTTCACGCCGACCTCAGTTTATAGTTACTGCGAGCGTGAGATTCCGGACACTAAAGTTGCGGTTGTCTTTAAAGCATCATAAAAGTTTAGGTACTATTTGCATTACTTTTGGATTGCCACAAACATTTCCTGTCAGGTGCGAGCATGTTTGTTTTACTAGCTGTTAGTGCTCCTTCCTGGCAAAAAATGTTCATGTATGCGTGCTAAACCCCACTCTACAGCAGAGGTACTGCTCCCCCTCTCCCCGTCACTCCTCATACACAGCGAGGGTCTCTCTCGCTCTCCCCCCCTTCCCCTTGTAGGCTGCCATTGGTCTTGTTCTGGCGACGCTCTCCCTTCCTCTCCCCTTGCCGCTCTGGCAGCCGCCATTGCGAAATAGTCGTGTCTCGTTAATATTGACCCCATTAATACAGATACCCCGCTATATGAACACCATTTTCGGGGACAAACTGAGAAACTACGTGCATTTTTGTCTCATTATTATTGATAACTCAAATTAATGACAGTTTTTAGGAGGAACAGAGGGGTGTCGACGTTATTGAGACATCACTGTACCACGTGGTCGTGCTGTGCGGACACACTCCTTTGCCTTCCCACTGCCACCGCCAAGGTTCCGTTCTCTTGTACTCTCCACGCCTCTACAGAACAGCTGGCATACATACTTTCGCTTCTTCCACCATAGGTGCAGTCACAGGCCTGCAACCAGAAGAGTGTTTCAGCCACACACACAAAAAAAAGCGCGTCTCTGTGTCCTTTTTTAGCACGTGCAACATCTCGCATAATAGTTGCACCAAAGCACACATCTCCTCACAGTTGTCTTGTACATCTATTCCACTGAAAGCAAAGAACCTATTGCAAACATTGGACAGCATTTAAAAAGTAATAGCGTCGAAAACACAGACAGGTATGAAGAAGTGAACGAACACAAGGTGCACATGCAACTGTTATTTATTCAGAAAAAACATTCATAATATAGCCACCTAAAGAAGCGCAAAAAATACAAAGACGAGGAAGTAAACAGACAAGAGTGCACTCGCAAACCAGTTGCGAGTGCGCTCTTGTCTGTTTACTTCTTCGTCCTTGTATTTTTTGCACTTGTTTAGGTGATCATGAACCAACTGGCCCATATTGCTATCATAATATAGGCCCACAACAATGTGTCATTCATCACCATGTCAATGCATTGCTTGTCTAATATATTCAAACTGTTTCTTCGATAGGGCGAGTGATGCTTCACTTATACAATCTGCACCCTTATCCCAGATTTCAAGCGCCTCATGCAGCTCTCTGCTCGTTCTATCGTGGTACCAAGCCAAAATCCTAATGTCATCTAGAACAGGCGTACGTCGGCATCTGTTGCAATGAATGGCAAGATGACCAGGCAGGCTGGCTCGCGACCGCATGCTTGTGGGCGCGGTCATTCACGTATCTGCCCGTCTGGCCAATATACACAGCGCCGCATGACAGATGTATTTCATAGACAACTCCAGAGGCACACTCGGCAAATTTAGTTTTGTGCTTTTTGCTGCAAGGTACAGACTGTTGTCCGGTGCTGTTGATTTTGGGGCAAAGTCAAACCATCCGATTTGGAGCTGAGAAAATAATTTTCTTTAAATTATGTGATACTACGTGAAACTATGGAGTAATCACCGGCCTCACACTAGGTTTCTCGTGAGCGCGTTTTTCTATTCCTCTGAAGCTTTTTAACAAGCTTTCTGCAACCTCGGTTAAGCATTTTTGTGGAAAGTCCCCCTTTGCCACAAAACGAAGCCCCACTTTGCTCTAAACCCTCTTGGCTCTTAAAAAAAAAAAAAAAAAAAAAAAAAGGCCCCCCCCTTCCTAATTGCACTAAACAAAGCATTATATTAACAGGAAGAACTCTGAAAAGAGCCTCCCAGAGAACCGTGGAGTGGCAGTTGACGTTGAGAGGTCTGCCTGTTGGCAAAATGCCAGAGGAGGCTTTGCTTGGGATGCTGAGCAAGAGGTGCTTCCACTGAGGCCTGTGCTCAATGCAGGCACCCTGACGGTGGAGGAGGTGTATCGGGACCGGGACCAGTTTGCCTCTCTGGTGAGAGAGGTGGCAGCGCCGGACATTGGGCGCATGGGCATAGAGATCCTCAGCTTCACCATCAAGGACGTGTTCGACCGGGTGGAGTACCTCACCTCCCTCGGGAGGGCACGCACGGCCGCTGTTAAGCGGGACGCCGACATCGGGGTTGCCCAGGCCGAGAGGGACGCGGGCATCCGGGTGAGGGGCCCCCCATTCTCTGCATTTCGTTTCATAGGGGAAATAGGACATTTCGGATGAGCAACCTTGATCCCTGTTTTGTTTCCCGGGGACAGTAGGTCAATAGCCCAATCAGAGCGAGGGACCTCGATTCCTATATTTCGTTCCCCAGGGATAATAGTTCAATAGGACAATTCTGGCAAGGAACTTTGATCCCTATTTTGTTACCCAGGGACAGTAAGACAATCTGGGTGAGGGAGTTTAATCCCCATTTTGTTCAATAGAGGGGCTATTTTACCCTCTTGAATTGTAACCTTACCCGCTTCTTCGTAACCTTGAATACAGCAGAGTAAACTGTTGTATTTGTGAGATTCCCGCAATGCTTTTGAAGCTGACAGTACAGCTTATGATGCTGTCTGCTCGAAATGACGGGATTTTGACCGTGCCTTATGCAGGAGGCAGAGTGTGAAAAGTCTGCCATGGACGTCAAGTATGGCGCCAACACCAAGGTTGAGGACTCCCATCGGATGTACCAGCTGCAGAAGTCAAACTTCGACGGCGAAGTGAACGCACGGGTGAGTGCGGCACAACACAGGCAGGTTCATTGTCTGCTTTTACAACCTGCAGTGCAGTTAAACTGCAGCATAACAAACTGCGATTCAACAATATTCATAGTGTATCACAGTCTCCTTTTTGTCCAATAATTCTTGTGAGAGGCAGTGAATCTTCTTTCTCAATTTAGCAGTTCAGAATTTAAGAAAAAATCTTCCTAAAACGTTTGTACACATGTCGACAACCAATGTCATTGGTGCGTTGCAGAAAGCAGAGGCCCAGTTGGCCTACGAGCTGCAGGCGGCCAAGGTGAAGCAGAAGATCCGAAACGAGGAGATAGAGATCGACGTGGTGGAGCGGCGCAAGCAGATCGCCGTGGAGGAGAAGGAGATCCTGCGTCGGGAGAAGGAGCTCACGGCCACCATCCGACTGCCCGCCGAGGCCGAGGCCTACCGCGTCGAGATGATCGCCCAGGGAAAGAGGTGCGCCCGCCCACTCCATCTTGCGCTCGCCGCGGGCCTTTGCAGGGTGCCACATTCTCGCGTCAGTCGGAGGCATCGCCTTTGTGTAGTGAAAAGGCCGTTTTCCTCTACAATCGCCGACTGGACGAGAACGGCAGGGCGCTCTTTCGACGCCTGACCTCCAGCACGCGCTTGTTGCCTCTCGCCGCACTTTGGTTGTGCGCGCAAGCTCGAGGCCAACGAAACGCCGAAGCGTCATCGAAGGTTGCAAGCTCACGCTGGAGGCGAGACAACCAAACCTCCTCCCTGTCCTTTTCATCCCGTCAGTGACTCTAGTCGGCGAAAGTCCCTGCTGCATGTCTGCTCAAAACACAGTTCTGACTTTCCTTGTTGTACTAAGTTGAGTGAAAGGGAGAGAGGTGAGGTGAACACCGAAGCTGGTCGAACTGATCGCTCCGGAATCTCCGAAATGAATTGAGTAGAAACGTAGATAGGGGTGCTTCTGAAGACTGTCACACGGATGTTTTCGTTGGGATTCTTTCCTGCAAGTAATTCTGGGGTAAGTGTGGTGCTGGTTGATCAGGTTATGTTATCTATGCGCCGAGAAACTGAGGAAGAGGAGGACACGGGAGCTCGCGGGGACGTCGGAACGCCGAGTTGTAGTTGGAGTGATTAGTGGGTAGACCTAAAGCCTTTGCCTCCCCTGCACTCATCGAACACATTTGAATGCGAAAACCGAGCGTTGGACGCCGGTGTTCTGTGTTCTGGCACGTTCGCCGAGTGCAGTGGAGACAAAGGCGGCTAGCTTTAGCTCTACTCGCTAATCATACCAACCAGAGCTCGCGGTTCCGACGTCCCCGCACACCCTCGTCTTCTCCTCTCCCTTAGTTCCTCGGCGCTTAGTTTGTAACATTACTGTTGCATTTAATACTGTCATCACTTTCAAAGATGTTATTAGACACAAAAATGAAAACTAGCGAGCAGAGATGACTACAAAAAAAGACCATAGGAATAAGTTGCACGGTGAGACGTGGAATAGAACTGTCGCAGAAAAAAAATGTCATGGAAACGGTGCAAAAACACGAAGTAGTAGAAGAAACATGAGAGGACCGCTGACCATCAACTGAGGAATTTTATTCATTTGATTACTTTATTTATTAAAATTTTTGAATGTTTAAGCACAAAGATCAGCTGTCTAGAGAGATAGTGGAGGCGTACCGAATAAAAAAAAGATGGGAGCCTCTTGTGTCGGCCAACCGTCCTTGCACTACTAGACAGGGAGATGACATTTTTGGATTTGGGCTAGCTTATGTAACCCCTATCATTACACTTTTATTAGTGGTAGCGTAATGGGCTTGCGCAAGATTGCACTGCCATAAAGTGAAGGGTCGTTTTTGTGCGTCTTCCCAACAAAATCTGTCGGTTGATAGTCGGCGCTCGTCCTGCGCATTTCTTCTATATCCTTGTCTTTTCGTGCCGTTTCCACAAGGAATTCCCACCAACTCGCCCAACTATCTGTTCTTTGAAGAAAAAGAATAAATAAAAGGCAAGCCGAGATGGCGGACAACAATTTTCTCATTACCTTCTTCCAGGACGCAAACTGTGGAGGTGGCCCGAGCGGAGGCCGAGCGCACCAAGATGACCGGGGCAGCGGAAGGCTACGCCATCGAAGCTGTGGGCAAGGCGGACGCCGAGCGCATGCGCATGCGGGCGGCCGCCTACAAGCAGTTCGGAGAGGCCGCCATCCTGAGCCTCGTGCTGGACACCCTGCCCAAGGTAGGCACCGTCTGTCTCTGCAACGTGCCACTGTGGACGACATACTAGCAGGCTAGTAGGTGGCCGCCCAAACTACGGTTACCGGAACGAGTCTCCGAATAGGGTGTTTAGAGCGTCCTTACCGCCCACGCATTGAAAATGGTCTCGAAACGACAACAAAAGCACGGGCGAACGCGAACTGTCAAGTTGGAGAACAGCCCGCAGCAGAAGAGGCGTCTGTCGCATCAACAGCACGGCGCTTTTGCGACGTCATCGGGCGGAGCTCGGGGGACCACTTTTGAGGACACAATAAACGTACCGGTCGAAGACACCGTACTCCATTTGGGTGCGGGCACCGTACGAAAACTAAACGCATGCCAAATGTCCCGTCCAGGGGCCCGAATCTATGCGGCGGGAGTAAGAGATTGCATCATCGCCACCTGCAGCAATTGACCAGTGGTGCAGAGCCGGCCAATCGCAGCAGGCGGCAATGTCCCAGTCGCCCCCTTCTGGTCTTGCCATGTAGATTAGGGCTCCAAGTTGTTTCTTCTCTTCCTGGCGGTCTGCCGGGCGGGAAGGTGCACACGCAGTTCGAGCCGACGGGGGACAAAACACGGAGAAGTCGTTTTTCAATATTTTGATGCTTTAGGGCAAGGATACATTGATATCTCTGAGGTTGTTCCAGCACTTCGTGGAGCTTCGAGGGTCGCAAAAGCAAATACTGGTTTTGCATTTATGCTTTTCCATTACCATTGCGGGGCACGGAATAGTAAAATTTTTTTTTTTTTAATTGTGGTTGACTGGGAGAATGCTTGAGAGGGCTTGCTGAACAAGATGAACCGTTAGGAGCACACGAGAGTGAGAGAAAGCTGTTTGGTCTTCAACTTTCTGGTTGTTTTCGATTTGCCCACGTCCATCTGAAGCTCCGAGACCCAAGCTAGTGGCACATTGGAAATTACAAATGAAACAAAACGCCCTCGTGGCATGCGTGTTAAGTAGGAGTGCTATAAAAACTAAAAGGTAAGAAGAGGCAACAGGCCACAGCAAACCTCAGCTGTGGCCTGCTGCCTCGTTGGATTGTCTAGCTCTGCTTCAGATGGTCTAGGAAGAGTCCAGAAAGTGGTAACGGAATTTTCAACCCACTCTGAACGAGCCACCAATAAACTGGGGTGACGCTTCATTGCACTGAGAGCAGTGCTCATTAATGTAAGCGTCTTCAGCTCTGTACACTCAGTGAACTGATCAAACTATCTCTTCTGCAACGCTATCCAAAATAACATCATTATTTATTCCTCTCCTCGCCTCAAAATGAATTTGCTATACTGCTATATCCGTCAAACTTTAGCGCCGCGAGTAGCACCATCAAGTAGAAGCACTGTGAACCTGTACGCTCAGTTGCCTGGCTCTCTCTCGCTAGCAAAAACATTGTTTTGCTTAAAGACAAAGGAAAAAAACTGTTAAGTTTTATTGTTAAAGATCAAAAAAGAATGACCGGTGCTTGCATACAGTGATCAACTACAGGCATAAAAAAAAAAAATGTCAGTGTACGAGAAATTGTTTTATGAAAGCTACTCGTAATTGCGAATTTGGGGTGGCTCATCAAGAGTGGGGTGACCAAACAAAAATTCCCTCTTGGAACAGTAGCGCCCCCAGTGGCAGCTGTTGACCCTGTACCAAAATCTGGCCGAAGTTTTGCGGCCAGTGGCATATTGAAGATTCTGGTCTAGGTTTGGGTCCTTCCCGTAACAATCTAGGCTCCCAACCGGTAATTCATCAGTGGTGGAGATGAAGTGCATCCCGACGTTCCCCTTCACCAGATTGCGGCAGAGGTGGCAGCCCCCCTGGCCAAGACGGACGAGATCATCATGCTGAGCGGGGAGGACCGCACCACAGCGGAGGTGACCAAGCTGGTGAGCCAGCTCCCGCCCACCATCCAGGCCCTGACCGGGGTGGACCTCACAAAGGTGAACACCCTCCCCTCGCAGGCCCGTCACGCCGGGCCAGCACTATGGGGGGCCTCCAGGGAGACCCCGCACCACGCGTGATCCCCGAGCTAGGGAAAAGACGGACCCCTGGGCACAGCGGTACCGGCAGCGGTGCCTAGCGCAACGGGTGGGGACCGCTACTGTGCTCACGCAGTCTTTGGAAATGAAACAGCGGACTCGAGGCATGGTCTAGGATCTGCACGTTGATCGGAAACCTTTCGGCAAACTCGTTTAACCCTCTAGCTTTTCCGAGAGACGGCTAATAACCCCTACTTCTCTTGCCATTCTCTTGCATAAGAGCAACGAAGGGTTTAGCTTGAATCATTATGAGACTCGGTCGTTGCGAGACTCGGTCGTTGCGAGATTCGGTCGTTTCAAAAGTCGGTCGTTGCGAGGCTCGGTCGTTGCGAGGCTCGGTCGTTGCGAGGCTCGGTCGTTGCGAGGCTCGGTCGTTGCGAGTCTCGGTCGATGCAAGTCCTGACGCTGCACTTAGGGGCTGGTTCACACATACAGCACATCACTAAATCAACACTAAGTAGAGTGCTGATGCAACACTGACTTAAACCATAAATGCCTTAGCACTGCTGATGCAACACTGACTTAAACCATAAATGCCTTAGCACTGCTGGGGCACTGCGTAAGTGCTGTATCATTAATTCGTGCAAATTCAGCACTGCATCAGCAAGACGGAGGCTATTCTCAGTGCCGACTAATACCTTTGAGGTAGTGCTGTGCTGTATGTGTGAACACCTTCATCAGATTGCTTATTAAGGGAGGGCCTGTCACCTGCAGGCCGTTCAAAACTTTTAACAGATAATGACTTGCATTTAGCTGCCACGTGCCCCTCTCAATAACCATGGCTCGGAACGGTATATTTGTCTTATGTGTTTTGGTAGCAAAGAACACGCTTAATGTGTCACGTTTGATTTGGAAACACCCCTCAATTGACAAAAACGTTTTGCTTTAGATGCTTAGCTGGGGTATAAAGTTCCTCTCTATTGCCTTGGCCGCCTTTTCAATAAAAACATTTCTGTAAGGCTACAAAACCACCCCCCTTCTCCGACTGAAGAAGACACAGTTCATTGTCTCTGAAATACCTCACTACACCTTGTAATGCATTGTTGCCACCTTGCCCAGTCTTCGGGGGACACGTAGGTAGCCTAGGTGACGATGGGTCTATCTATATATATATAGTATGTACTTCTATCTTCCTTTTTGAAATGCAGATGCGAGCAGTGCTCGTGTTTGTCTTCTCTCTTGTGTTTCTCTTTTTAGCGCTTTTAACCATGGTTCAAAAAAAACTTTGAATAAGTGCGCTGCTGTATCACAGCTATGAAATACTGTCGAGACCGGTTATAACGAAACAGCGGCTACAGCGAAGCGATCACGATTTCCCATTCATTTCTGCAGTTCATTATAACCGAAGTCGGTTTTCACGAAATAGCAGATTTAGCGAAGTAATTTCCGATTACCGTTGACTTCGTTATAACCGGTCTCAACTGTATGGTGAAAGGGCGTAGCAGGGGCTCACTTTCACTTGCACAGACTGTTGTACAGACTATACCGATACCCTCATTACATATATGTTTGCTATACAAGCGAGTTTGCCATTACCTTTTCTTCTATGCATTATGAGGTCTTGTTACGTTCAGCACATTCAAGTACACTTGAATTTGACTGCTCTTTGTTCCGTGGTTGCAGATGCTGGCCAAGATCCCCGGAGCAGCAAAGTAATAGCTTGAGTGGGGGAGGGAGTCAATAGGGAAAAGGGCGGGCAGACGGGGGCATCCTCTTGTTCCGCGTGGCATTGTGTGTCTCAGTGTGTGCATTCCTTTCTGCTTGCTCCGCCTTGGAGGAGAGTCCTAGCGGTAGATTCCGCCACGCGTCGTCGTGCCGGTTAGGAGGACAGAGTATTTTGATGATGGGTGGGCTCACCGCACGAGCAGTGATCGACCGGACCATCTAGTGCCTCCACGCTTCAATCCGCGTGCTCCGCTGCTCGTCCAGTCACGCAGCCGCAGCACGATCCAATGACGCCCACGATCCACTCCGCCGCGTCGAGCCCTTCTCTCCTTGGAAGAAGAGCGGCACTGCAGCTGCGCGACCGGCCGCTAGCACTAGACGTTGCTGCAACCTACAGCCGCTCTGCCGAGAGTTGTATGCAATGTTGAAGAGGAGTTGCGCGGCATAATGAGCATTGACGGGGAAGAAAGTGCGCTTTTTTTTCCGGCTTAGAGTACTACCTTTTGTACAGTTGTTCTCGACCCCCCCCCCCCCCCCTTGCTTGTAGCGGGAGAGTGTGTACTTCGTTGTCCGCCTCGCTCATTTAGTTGTCACGAAAATGCGCCCATCTCATTACGGAAAACGTCTCCAGGGAGCAACGTTTTTGTTTACCGACCTCGAAGTGTGGATCTAGTTGAATCTTATTGGTGGGTATGCAGAACAGTCTTTTTGTAATATAGTTTTTAGGGTTTTATTTTTCGCCGCTTGCCCAAGTGTGTTCATGCAACTGTTCCTTTTTTTTTTTTTTTTTTTCCCTTCCTTTGAGACTGGCAGCAGTGCCTGTTGGACTTGTCTCTTTTTTTTTTTTTTATGAACATACTTTAGACTCGTTTTATGCTTTGCAACCTGCGCTATTTTAGGCAGGTTTAGTATCGTTTTGTGTCTTTTTTTGCGTCCATGTAACAGAAAGCTAAAAGTATTTACAACTGTGTCATGTCTGGTGTTTTTTTCAATATTTTGCTTCGTTGCAGCAAATAACTGTTTTCAGTTAGTTTTTTTTCTCGTTATAACGGAAGCCACGAGCAAAAGAGCTGGAATTAGCGATTCGACGGCTGAACAACAAAGATGCCACGCACCTTGTGCTGCAGTGTACCATAAATGTGCCGATGATTTATTTACTCTTCCATTACCCTGTACATTGTTCAGTCGACTTTCTCCGTTTACCAATGCTTGGCATTATCAGTAGCGAGCTAGACGTCTTCAAAGTGCATCGACCTCCCCATTCCCCGCCTTAAAACGCAATCTCTCAACATGCGGACACACTCGCGAGCCAGGGGTCAAACCGAATGCAGTGACACTGCCAATCACAGACTGCCCCCTCTAACATTGTCACCTATTTGTCTAGAAAGATTTTCTTGCCTCCAAATACTTACCTTTCTGTTTGGAGACTAGCAGTGGTGCCAAGATACAGGAAAGTTCCTTTCATTCTAGTCTTCAGTTACTTTTCAAGCATAAAACTTATGGCAACCTCGGCGGTTATTCCTTGGCGGCAGGAAAAAACGTAGCAGCAAACATTTGAGACTCGGTTTTGGCAAGGGTAGATGCATCTCCACCGACCACAGTGAAGAGACATAGAAGACAGCAATTGTGCAGTTCAGCTGATTTCAGTCCGAGATTTTATGGTACTGCTCCTCAGCTTTCAGCTCAATTATAGATGGCTTACAGAAATGGGGATTTTATTACTTGTACTAAACTGGCATGCATCTGCTGTACAAGAATATGCAAGGGTTTGATTCCATGACATTTTTAAAACATCTCCGAGCTGACAGCACCCTCCGTTATGTCTTGCGCCGATCTCATGTTTTTGAGTGCGATAGCCTTTCAAGGCATGAATATTATCTGCGGATGAATATTATCTGCGGATATTATCTCGTGCACTAACACAAGCAAAAAAACTAATAAGTAATACGAATCTCATTGTGGCCCGTGGGGAAGCATTTAAATATTTGTAACCATTCTTTTGTGCATGGTTTGGGTCGTTCGACATGCATTCTCACACTTTGCCACTGGCTGTCTCCACGTTCTAGAATTCATATTGGAACATTAGCGAATCAGACAAACCGGTCGTGCCGCCAACAAACTGCCAGTGCACTCGTCGTACGGCCTACCACCAATACAACATTTAGAGACGTGTACATGTCCCTCGATACTGTCGTATACATAGAGAAGAAGAAATTAATTTCCAGAAAGTCTAGGCTTAGTTTTGTACGACGCCGTGCCTTTTTGCCCAAACGTGAAGCACACATATTTTGTGGCTGTCGGTGCAGCAACTTTGCTACGAGTAGGATTTGGTTCAAGCTGGCGGCTCTAGGGGTGGCTTGCCTGGCACATTTTAAAATAAAGTAGGGCAACACATCTGGTTTGCACACAGCAGGTTGTGGGAGAGTTCCCCCTCCGGACAGACACAATTGGTTGCGTGGAGTTTATGGCACTGCACCAGTTGTAACGGTCGTGTCAAGAATTCACACTGAGAGACGGCGTTCCAAACTTCACTGCACCAGTTTCGGCAACGACGGGCTTTCCTCAGGACGATCCTCGCGTGTCAAAAGTTGCAACCGACACCTTTCTGCCGCCAGTTTGTCTGAAGGCTTGCCGAGGCGGTGATTTCGGCACGCCGAGCCTAGCTTTCGTTGCGCCTGTCAAGTTCCCCCCCCCCTCCCCCAAAAGTAGGAGAGCAATTTGTGCCGCTGTTTTTTTTTTTTTTTTTTTTTTTTTCTGGATCTTGCCACAGCTGTCGAAAATGAAGCGGAGAGAATTTTTGTATGCGCCAGCTCTGTGTCGCACTGCTACTGACGCGGCAGATTTGGAGAGATAATAAACTACATTTTTGCAGCTTTCTTGGGAGCCGAGACTTTGCAATCTGTTTGGGAAAGTGCCATCTTTTGTGTAGGTAGGGCAATTATTTGCCCATCTCAGTCGGCTAGCAAGCTTGGATTCTTCACTTCTTTGACGCGTTCGTCATTGCCTAGTGCCATTGATTTGCTATTATTACACCAGCAATGCATCACTGCTAACGGCTTCCTTTTTTTTTTAGCTTGAAACTGTAAGCCTGCACTTTTCTGCAAAGGAACCGTGGACAGGGATAGCATCATCGTGACATTGGTCAGTGGAAGAAATGAAAACATTCATTACCCTCATTCTACAGGGTGAAACGAGGAGACTCCAGGCTCTTTAAATCGACCGGAAAATTCGGTTTCTTAACTTATCGCGCTACGACCTTGTGCAGCGTTGCCCACAGATGGTGCTGCTTTTTTTTTTTTTTGTAAAATTTGCAAAGCGAACTTACCTAAGAAAAAAGTAAAGAAAGAAAAAGGCTTAGCTCCTATGGAAACGCACCAATGCCACCGGTCTGCAAACAACACGGCGCCGTTTCGCACGGGAGACAAGAGATGGCGCAAGCGGTCGCGACGCCAACTGCTGCCAACGAACGAGCAGACGACGCCGAGAGCCGGCCCTTTTGCAGCAAGGGACTGCAGTTCCTTGCTGTTACCGCGCCCGTCTTTTTTGTTTCTGCGACTGTCGCCGCCTGCGGAACGCGCGCCGCTTTTGAGTCGAAAAGATTGTCTGCTAAAAAGGCCTGCTCTCGGCGCCGTATGCTCGTTCGTTGCGCCATCTCGTCTCCCGTGCGAAACGGCGCCGTGTTGTTTGCAGACCGGTGGCGTCGCTGCATTTCCATAGGAGCTAAGCCTTTTTCTTTCTTTACTTTTTCCTCAGGTAAATTCGCTCTTCGCAAATTTTACAAAAAAAAATGCACCATCTGTGGGCAACGCTGCACAAAGTCGTAGCGCGATAGGTTAAGAAAAACAAATTTTCCGGTCGATTTAAAGAGCCTGGCATCTCCTTGTTTCACCCTGCAGAATGGTTAAAGAAGTTGCAAGGACTTTGTTTAAAATTTTCTTTAAGTCAGTGTTTGGCATATGGGTGAAAGAGTGTTTTACAAATTCTCCATTTCTTTATTAAATTTACGTGTCGGATCGCTTACTACTTCGCGGACATTTAGAGTTCTGTGTTATCATTACATGTGACAAGAAAAAAAAAGTGGGAGGAAGCCCCAACTAATTCTTACAGAAAAAAAAAAAAAAAAAAAAAGTTATAGCTTGAGTTAACAATATTTTTTTTCTCAATTACCATACCCGATTATTCTGGGTCCTGTTACGGTTAGAGTTAACAATATTTTCTCGATTACTAATTACCCGATTATTCCAAGTCCTGTTACAGTAAAAATCCAGGCATCTACAGATGCCTCGTTAAAGGTCCTCGAAATTCAATTGCTCGCATGTCGAGTGCAGCCTGCGGTATGGTTTGCCAGAAGACCCGTCCAGTATCCACAGCTGGAGAGTTTTTCCTGGAGACTTTCTCAAGGTGACAAAGCATTCAGGAAGCCCATGTTGATGCACCACTGCTGCATTAGCCGTAGCAAAAAAAAAAAAAAAATCTATACTTTAACAATTAAATACTTTTCTCCCTAATGCTGGTATGTTTTAATAGTACCATGTCCATGGCTACTTATACGGTCCTGTCAATATTGTACCTTGCTAAAATAAGTAATTTCAGTAGATAAAAAAAAACAAAAAAAAAACGCAGTGTCTTGCCACAACTTGAGCATGGGAGCCACAATTATGTCCATTATGCTCAATTGTCAAGAGATTGACAGTGTGAAAATAAAAAGATCCACGTGCAGGATCTGGCATAAGTCGATATTTATCATTTGTATGAAATACAGCTATTGTAGTACTAGTATATCACCCATGTGCTTGAGTAGCACACAAGTTGCAGTTCAACAGAACTCTCGTTTGTTCTAGACAAATGTCTGATCATGCTTTTGCTATTCCGATATCTGGTGATCCCTTACCTATTATTTCTACTGCACAATACAATAAAGACCGTGATAGGAGTAGTACAAAATACACAATATTAAACAAACAATGCTGGAAGTGTGCCTTGACCTTTAGCACTATGTCCCGTCAGATTGACTGACCACCACTGAGGTCGTCCTTTGAAATACAAAAAAAACTAAACACGGCACTTTCGGTTAGCTGCTGCAGATGCATTAAACCATATGATGCGGATAAGAGTAAAACATTAATTTCATATTAACTAAATTAGGAAAATTTGGTTAGAAATATTGTAACCAATGAGATCTTTACATTAAGAGTCTGCTAGGCATCTTTTGGGGCTCGTCCAGTGCTGCTCAATACATTTCCATTGACGCCTGTTCATAAACTGGCATTTAGTCTTGTCCCCAAAGTCAAAGAAGGAACACGGTGCTGCAATAAATAACGGACCCACTTTATTTGGCTTGTTCATGAATGTCAAGAGCAAGTCTCCCTGGCTGAAGAAATATGCAATGCCACAATCGACCCACACAGGTATAGTAACTTCGTCTTTCTGTTCAATGGGCCGAAATGGAAAAGAGTCCAAACTCTTGTGGCTCTTACAACACAAGCACGCAGAACCCCTAAGCAGTGCCCTTTATCACACCGTATGCTACCTAATGAGAAACAACAAACCTGCACCATGACAATGCGTTTCCTACGCTTGCAATAGTAAAAGCACAGTCGACGCTTCATAGCGTGCAGATTGATGCAGCAGTTGACCAGTGCGGCAGGGTGCAGACCCTGAGCCGATAATCCCATTGGGGATCTGCCAAATCGACCCCTCCAAACAAGAGGAACATGTAAGAAGAATAATTGCTCTGAAGATAAAAAGAAACAACCTTGTTAACACTTAAAGTAAGCCCACAATTTAAGGCTTAGAGTGCAATCTCATAGCTCTAAAAGATGTCCTTATTATTCGAATGTGCATGCACGTCCTCTTGAGGTCACACATTCATGCTTGCACCCTTCAGTGTTCACCTTCATCAAGACCGGCGGATAAGACTGCGTGCTGCAACCAAAATACCAGGAATCGAGTACAGCAGCAGGTACAGTACTCGTTGCACAGTACTCGTTGCTTTCTTTCGCCATCACAAATGCAACAAGTCGAAGGCTACAACATGAGGCTGAAAGCTTTGAATGTGCTTCTTTCGCCGCATGCGCACCTGTTTGGGGAGACCATCCAGTACGTGCATAGCCTTCACCATCTGCGCTCACTCGAATCCTTTTACTACTTTGACAAGCCTTTGTTGCTCATACTCGCCGACCTATGTATGATATGTCTGAAGGGTGAATTGCGACCAGGTTACTCTTAAAAAAAACTGCTACAGATCTGTGGACAAAAAAAAAACACAGCATGAAACCAGGCATATGAGATCCTTAGGTAAAGGTGCACTGAACCACTTTCTGGGATAGTCTATTTATGGTCATAACTCAATCTATGGGCTCTAAGCATTCTAAAAAACCAAACATTGCATTCGTGCCTGGCCAATTTCCCTATAAAAATCTGTATCAAAAGTTCATTGCCTTGGAACCATCTCGGACACCAGAAGGCACTGTCGCACGAGAAAAAGCCTTCCCCCTTGTCCGACGGCGCCTTCCGATGGCTGCGACGGTTCAGAAGCAGTAAATCTTTGATACCAATTATAACAGAGAAATCGGCCGCACATGAATGTAATGTTTAGTTTTTTAGGATGCCTAGAGCCCATAGATTGAGTTATGACCATGAATAGGCTATCACAGAAAGTGCATGGTTTATACCCTGTCAGACGACGCCTTAATACTCCTTTTCAATAAACATCCTTTCCGCTAAAGGAGCTGCTCTCACACGACCGGCAATGTACTATTTACCACCAATATTGTTTTGGGGCTGGCCACATGGAGTTTAAAAAGAAACTAAATTTATTATTCTAATTTTTCTATCATGTACAAAATTGCAAGTTAATGATTATTTTAGGAATAATTTTTTTTTCATTGGAAATAACTTGGCTAATAAAAATACTTTCGCAAGAATTTTGAGTCGGAGAGAGGCATTGGCAAACGCGAGAATATACTAAATTGACGGTGTACTAAATTACTGCCTGGTTACCGAAACCTAAAAATAATTAAAAAATCGGAATTATTGACACTTCAGTTTAATGCTTTCTACCAGACTGAAAGAAGTGTGAACGCACAGGTGAGTTGGGGAATCTAAGCCTGCGATGCATGAGGAAGGAGACTCGGATCGTCTGTTAAGATTCTAATTGGAGACGAAAGCCTTTCCTTGATACAATGCCCTCAGTCAATGCTCGGAAAACCCATGCCAAGGTCAGTCCTTCAAAGTTTTACTGCTTTTGTACTAAAGGACGCTGGTGAGCTTTCCCGAAAAGGACATTTTACGGGAAGGAACATTTAGTGTAGTGTGGCACAAACTCCTCTTCCTTTTAGGAGATTTTCCTTTCTACTAAAGTAAAGGAGTTTAAGCGCTCCGTCTGACAAGGGTTTTAGTGCCCCTTTGAAACAGGAAAAAATGCCACCAGGTAACACCAACAAGCCAGACAAACAGATTACACACATTCCAGTTACCTTTGTACACAACTGCACAAGTGCTTGTGTGGCAGGGGTATGAGGAAAGGTAGGGGTTGACATTCACAGCTGCTAGGAGTACCAAATCGGGTTTGTTCAGGGCCCCTGGAGGGTCGGGATGAAAGAGTATAACGGCGTAATGCATTTTGATAAAGATCCATCTTTTGCAAAAGCAGAGTGAAAGCTATGAGCGCAAGTTAAAAACTTTGAAACGCGTTTCTGCCGCACGAGCACCCAAGCAGTCGACGTACAGTACGATTGACATCCCTTCTAAAGCTATCGTCGTGCACGAACGGAAGCACCTCTTGCGAGTCGCACTCGTAGCTTTTATGGTCGAGGCAAAACTGAGAAAACGGCAGTAAGCGATGCAGACGAATCTGCAATACCTGAATACTGCAATACTTTGGAAGGGATGTCAATACAACACCGGCAGCGGGAGTTGCGGAAAAAAGCGCCCAAACCAGAGACGAAACAAAGCATTAACATATTCCAGTCCAGTTTCAGGACTACCTCCCCTTCATCTTTCACAGGAACACAGAGCGAAGGCTGCAAGTACAGGCTAGTAACTTCGAAACGCGTTTCCGTCGCACGAGCATTCGACATACAGCGTGGTCAGCGCCCTATGCGAGGAAGCTGCACTCTCGAGCTCGTGGCCTTTACGGTCGAGGGAAAACTGAACGTGCAGCAATCTGCGACGCAACCGAAACTGCAGCAACCAATGCGGAGTGCAAGTTCGTCTGCTTCTTTCACAGGAGTTGCAGTGACGTCAGAACAATACCGAGCTCCGATTGGCTTTGATTGAAAGGATAGTGGGTAGTCCTCAATACTGGATGCCTTGAGGTATACCCACTATTTCTTTCGATCAGCCAATAAGAGCTCGACATTCTGACATCGACACAACCCCTGTGCAAGACGCAGACAAACTTGTGCTCCGCACTGCAACAGTAGCGGGAGTTACGGGGAAGGGCGCCCCAACGAGGGCGAGCCCTACTCCGGACGCTGTTCCACGGAGATGCCGTCGCAGAGGAGGTCAGTCTTGGAAGGGTAGACCACTCTGAGGTTGCCCTCCCGGTCCACGACCTTGACCTTCTCCACGGCCATGCGGTGGACGACCTCCCCCGACCCTTCATCCTGGTGCACCTCCTCGTCGCCCAGCCCCAGGCGCAGAGACTCCGTCAGCAGGGCATCCATCACCTTCTTGCAGAAGGGCAGGTTGCTGCCCGTCACCTCGCAGAACACGTCCTTGGTGTCTTCGGAGATCTGCATGTGCCACGAGCATTGCAGATGCTAACCAACTGCAATCTGATTGGACTGGATTCTTTTGGCTTTCCCCCTTGCGTCGGGTGACGACAGAACTTTGGACTCTGGATCTAGTCTATGGTCACTGACAGGATTAGAATGTAAGGCAGGTCTTTCGGGTGCCCCTCCTCTGGCACGAGCTTCTTACCTTTGACAACACTTTGGCGTGTTGAGAGTTTTGAGCATGTGTGTGCGGCCAAAGCGCGGTAGTGGGCAACGAGCGCATGCTCAAGGCTGGGCATATAAAGGCGACGACCCGTTGGTCTCTTCCTGCCTGTGACCATGGTAGACTCAACCGGTTGAGGTTGCCAACAAATGTGCACGGGAGGAGAGTTCAATGTACGATGCAAGCCTCGACGGCACCAGCCCAGTTAACGGCAACTCCAATAGAGCTGTTTCTCCGTGGTTTTCGTAGCGGGTACAGATGGCGCCGTCAACTGTACCTGCTTTAACGGCTCTGTGCTTTGGTCACTTGGTATTTATACGGTCGTGTCCCACTAATACGGACACCCCGCTATATGGACGACAATTTCGGGGACGAACTGAGTAAATAGTATGTGCATTTTTGTCTCATTATTACGGACAACTAGAATTATGGACACTTTTTTGGGTGAACAGAGTTGTCCGTTATAAATGAGGCACCACTGTATTGCACTAAAGTGTGACCACATGCTGCACGTGCAGCAACTGGTGGCAAGAAGAAGCAGCTACGAAAGCAGGTTTGGAAACGCCTTGCTAAATTTTCCGATGACTGGCAGTCCAGTTTGTATCACGTGCTACAGAATGGCAATAAATCACCTCCCAGCATATCTTTTGCCAAATCTGTGGGAGAAGAGGAACGAACAAAGAAAGAGTGATGTCTTTTGGTCATTAACAAGTGCATCCTTTTCCTCTTTCCCATAAAAGTAATTACCATTTATTTACGTCTACCGTGTCTACACAACATAAACGCCACTGACATGCCACCGAGCATAGAGAAAAATAAACATTGAAAATGCGAAACCACAATTATGACGATTGTTTGCTGAGAAACCCCAACTTCCATGCTCATTGCCATGTCAACAAGTAACCAGAAACAAGCCTCTATACTAGGGTCACCTACTCCATGAAACTGTTTATCCAAAACCCAAGTGTCTAACAAAAAAAACAAAAGCAGTGGTTAAAGCAGTTTCCTAAACAAATATTGTGTTCTAATGTGTTCAATGCCAAGCATAGGCCACTAGCCGTACTTGAAGGCCTGCGGTACCACACTTGGCACAAAAAAATGTTTTTGTTATGCATCTGGCTATTTCAGCACTTAAATGAAAATAAAAAAAGTCTGATCAGCTGGCAGTGTTGCCAGATGACGAAATTCATCACCAGATTTGTGAAATCTTGTTAAATTTTTTAACCTTTGGCATTCTGGTTAGTGAACTATGACATCAAGCAAAATCTGAGAAAATCTTGGGAAATATGCCTCGTGACTTCCAAGAAACTGAAAATGCTACCGGTGCCGCATAGTGGCACATGCCAATACCACCTAGAAGACAAAGTCTGTGCGTTTCCTTCTCTAAACGTCATCACTAGTAGATCCCCTCAGCGCCCCCTAGGTATCTCAAATGAGCAACATTGTCTGCTACATCGTCTGCTCCATCGTCTGCTTCAGTGGTCATGCTCAGAACGAGCTTAGATTAATAGGCTGCTAGGACCGGCAGTCTCGATGGTGTCGCATGAATGTTGCAAATGAACTGTGGAAGCTTGCTATCAGCTCGCGCTCAGCAGTCCCGGCCACACTTGGCCCACACTCTCGTCATGCTTCAGCCCATTTGCTGCTTGGGGCAGGTCGGGGATCTACTAATGAAATGTCATGCGCAGGCCTTGTTTTCTCGCTGGTATTGCATGTGCCACCGCTCGATTGAAGTAAAGCTGTAGAGTAACAGATTTTAATAGAAATATTTCACGAAAAAGCAATCCGCCGGGAAGTTCAGATAATGGCTCTTTGATATTTTATCAAAACATGCATATTTCAAGTGTAAGAAAGATTTCCTTTTTTGGTGAGACAACCAAATCTTGCAAAAAAAGCTATCTTGAACAATTCATGAACTATGTGCAAAACTTGTTTTTATTAGGGTTTTTACAGCTTTAACTTAAAACAATGAATCTAGAAAAAAAAAAGTTTTTTTCCCCAATATTTTTGCTACAATATGAATTTTTCGATTTGCGGGCAAAACAGAAATTGTGCCCCTATGAGATGATGATGACAGCATTTGTACCCAACTAGTGTGCGCTCCAAGTTCGCTGGACCTCAGAGCGCAAGCTATACTCCGTTTCACCTTTGTCCGGACGCAGCAGATGCTATGAGCTGTCCTAGCCAATCCCACTCTGTGAATGTAGCCCATACGCTTTCTGCGCGTCGCTCTGCCTCTCTTCAAGGTCACGCGACACTCGCACAGCTTTGGATTGGCTCTGATGGCTCGTAGCCTCCACTGTGATCGGACATAAGGTGAAACTGAATATAGTTGAGTACAAACGGTATTGTCATCATCCCACAGGGGTACAAGTTCGGTTTTGTCCACAAATCAAAAAGTTTGTATTCTAACATAATTACTGGGCAAATTTTTTTTTTTTTTCTTTTTTTGACTGACATTAATTTTGTGACATGCTTGTCACCAGATAGGAAAAAAATAAGATTTTTTTCTAGGATCAGTGTTCTTAAGAGAGGAATACGTGAAAGTACAGAGATAGAAAAATTGAAGGACCCGCTAAAATGGGGGTCATTTCAAACTGAATTGTATTTATAGCTCTTAGAATGAAGAAGGAAAAGAAGCAGATATTCAAGGTACAGGAAGAAGAAGTATTAAACCACAGTTGATAGTCCAGCAATATCTCTCTCTTTTTCTACCTCTGTACTTTTCCCTCTCTCAAGCTCAAGCTGGCCCTATCCTAGTATCATGCACTAGCTAGCTCAACTCGAGCCTGTTACTTGTTTTTATTTTCTCTTAAAGGGGCCCTGCAATCACATTTAAGCGTATACCTTTTTTTGCGGTTTCCACGTCTCTTGGGCAAGCCAGCAGGCACGGAGAAAGTAACTAAATATCAGTGCATCATATTTTAACCGGACGACGCGGAAGCTTCCTCCACCGACGAGGGCGACCCGCGGTACCGAAAGCGCGCGAAATGTGACGTCTTAGTTCCTGGGCTTACTACTGGTCATAGCCGCTAAAAGCTTCTTTTTAGTCGAAATACAAAATATAAGTGGCGCGAAACGTTTCAATTATTTATAAAAGTAGTTTTTGTTCAGTATTTTAGGTCAGAAAAGAAACAAATGCAGTTTATAAAGTACGGAAACAGGAAATGAGCCGTCGACATACCCGCCACCAAGCGGTGGAAAAGGCGGCGCACACTAGAAAAGAGTAGTGGGATCAGGCGCCGAAATGGAAAGGTCCTGAATGTACGCGGCGGTGCTGCGGTCGTTTACGGACTTGAGGATCCAACCGGCTCCAAACGTTCCGAAGGCCTTCGGCGAGTAGCTTTGTCTTGCATTTTGGCCATTTCGCGGTACGGCAGCGCGAAGTGACTCCCATCCTGAACTTATCTTCACCCCGTGTTTGCTGTCGTTTGTGGCCAATGAAGTGTCATGCCAAATTAGTGTTTAATTGCGCAGCAAATGCAATGAGAGCCGCTCTGGCTGCCCGCTGTATATAGCCTATCCAGAATATGCTTTAGTGGCGCCCTCTCGCGCCGTCGACACGGAGTGCGGCAGTCGTAAGCGCTCGCTGAGCTCACTATCCCTCCTCTAGTTCATGGCCGCTCAAGCAACTAAGGACGTCATGAGGGAGGTTATTTTTTGCTTGTTTTTGTAATTTTAATTTGCCTATAACTTTTAAAATAAGGCGAAATTCGAGAAGAGAAAAGTTACATTAAGTTACTACGGTCAGTGCGCTCAGGTTTGATGCAAATTAAAAACTAGTAAAAAAGTGCTTGCAGGGCCCCTTTAAGGTGACACTACCACCAGAATGGTGACGTTCCTGCTCCGCTAGTCCGTTTCTTTCACGGTAGCCTTGTCTCACTGCACACGTTGAGAAATGTGCATCTGTAACCTAAACTGAACCAGTCAATTGACCACTCTTCCTATACTTTGATCTGAATATGAATGCTTCATCTTTTTTTAGGCACTTTTTATGCCAATTTTACTGCCTGGTGAAGTCTAGTGAAATTTTAAAGCGAGAGTTTGGTGTCGTGTCCGCTTTCCCGTCTGGCAATGCTGTCTGTCAGCTGGTCTTTCTTGAAACCAGGTCCACATTGCTTTGTTATGACCAAATGCTACGTGCAAAGGGTAAGCGTGCCAAAATTTACCCTTGTTCCCTCGCTGTTGGTGATGGGTGGGAAGGACATCACAACCTTTGCCCCGTCCGACACGTATGGGTACAGGGTCTTGTCCTTGAGTAGGTAAAGGAACCTGAAGGGGCAAAGAACCGGTGTGTGATTTCTCTGCAGCAATGCAGCGCACACAGGAAAAAGTGCCTCTCTAGAGACAGATGTACAGTCACGGATGATATGAAAAAGGCCAGGGGGATGCATGGCTCCAAACACTGCCAGTGCTATCTAACGGAAGAAAGCCGAGTTATCATCGAGGCTACTGCGCGAACGAGAGGCGTTTTAGCAGCTGTTGGAATTTTGTGCTTACTCCCCACTTGGCCAGCAGACGATTGCCGGTTAATGTCGAGAGCTCGGCTAGTTGAACCTCGTTGATCATAATATAGAAATAGTGCAAAAAAACGCGGACGGAGCAGAAGAAACAACGCAAACAGGATGAATGCTCGCTACGCAGAAATGCTCACTGGACAATGTTTGTCCTGTTAGCGTGTTTCTTCTGCTCCATCCGTGCTTTTTGCGCTGTTTCTACATTATGATCAACTATTGCTGAGTCAACACCGATAGTGGTAGCGCTCTATGAAATAAAATAAAAAATCACTACATCTCCACGTGGTGAATGATGTTGATTGGGGCAAAGCTCTGGTGGTGCTGATGATACTGATTTTATTGTTCATAGGTAGTGCCGAGTTCCGGGTTGCATTTCGACTTCATTATTACTGCCCCAGCTCTAGCTGGTGATGTGGTAGTAACCCCAGATCTAGTTACTACCACATCTCAAAGACAGGTTCGAATCCTGTCGACTGCGCAAACATTTTTTCTTTTTTTAAGAAGACAGATGGGATGGCAATCGATGTGAGCACGGACGCCGGATGGACAAGGCTAGACCCTGAGGAGCTTCGCCCCTGAAACCATTTTTCGTCATTTATCTTGCGAACTTATCGTCAGCCCCTCCATCCTCCCTCTCTCTCGTGACATGACTCGGGACCCTCGTGACATGACTCAAGAAGGCCGCGTGAAGGTCGTGACCTTCACTGTGGAGGCCGTTACCTTCGTTGTGACCTTCACAAGTGACTTTCGTGATGTCACTTGTGACCCTAGTGACCCTCATGACGTCACTCAAGATGTCACTCGTGATGCAACACATGATGTAACGTGTGACGTCATTATGGGAAACGTCCCATAATGCAACGCGCAATTACGGCGACACCGCTTAAGCCGGAAACTGGCGCTTAAGAACTGCGCTTTAAAACTGGACAGCCACCGAAGGCTCGTTAATGGTCAAGCTTTCTTCTGATGGGTGGTGCAGCAGGCCCAGTAGGCCACGCCAACGCCTTGTGTATCTACGCCCGTCAGAAGCGCTCTCCGAGACAGGCACATTAACTAATTTCTCCTCCTCTTCTAATGCCTGTGTGCGCCGGGAGACAGTGCTGCGTTGGGAGCCTATAGAAAGCCGATTGAAGAGAGGGTCCGTCTCAAACCATGGGGAACAATTGCAATTCAATGGCGGTTCCTGCGGATATTGGTCACAAGTGCGCATGCGCTGTGCTTTTGCGTGGGGAGGAGGAAAGGCAGAGACGTTTACAGACAATCGACGCTTTGTCAACACCTTCGTCGCCACCTCGCAGCTCGCATTGCAACCATGTGACCCCGATCAAGCAGTTGGAAATTCTCTGTAATGCAGGCTCTCTAGGGCACAAGCAGACGAAGCGTTGCACGCGGCGCCCCGACTTCAGCCTTCCAAAAGCCTGTATTACAGAGTGTCCAACTGCTCTAACAGAGTCCCGTAGTTTATAGGCCATATTTGCAATACAAGCCGCCAGGAGGTGACGAAAGTGCCGATCCTCCCCAAGCGTCTCCGCCTTTTCTCCCGCTTTTCTCCTTGCCACGCAAAAATGCGGCGCATGTGCATTCGCGATCAATCGCCGAGGGTGGTGTTCGCCGCCAAATTGCAAATGCTCCCCGTGGATTTGAGACGGACCCTTTCTTCAATCTAGGTCCTCTATCCTTCCCAACGGAGGTGACGCCCCCACCCCGAAGCAACCGCGGCAGTGTGCAAGTTCTCTGACGGGGACCGCCGCACAAGTGCTTGCGCGACACCGCCCGCGGTTGTATTTTCTTCCATCCAACAGGCATAAGGTATACAGAAGGCACTGGACACAAGTGATGGAAAGTGTGCAACCTTCCCCCGAAATACTGCAATTCCGTTGCGTAATCGGCAAGAAAAAAATGCATTATTCGCCGATTTGCAGCAGCACTTGGCGGTTACGGAAACTACGGTGTCCCGTAATTGGGAGTACACAAGTTCTCATGGCACCATATATCGGAGGTTAACAAAACCATTTCCTCTCCGTCACTACCTTCCCCATCTTTTCCATGGCAAACAGCTTTCCCATGGCAAACAGTCTTTTGTCTCTTTCGATTGCCACGACCTTCAACGATGCTAAGCGGGTGCAGTGCTCTATTGTAGTTGAATCGGATGTTGAAAGGCCTACAATCGTGGAGGAAGGGCTGGGGGCATAAAGATAGAACCGAACGTAGTACTCCCAATGACATCACTGCACACCTCACTTGAAAGACACTGAGAGTTGAGAGGTACAAAAACCTTCGATTTATTTCATATTCTTTTATAAAAACTGAGCACGCAAGACAAATATGGTTTTCAGTTCTTAATTGTGTAGGAGACATGGAACAATTCCCGCAACCAATTGGCCAAAGTCCCAAAATCGTTGCGCCGCCCCTTTAGAAAAAAAGGTTAGAATGAAACATTGCGTTTCCTGTTGTCAAAATAAAGCAGTCGGTTTCATAACTTAGCGTGCCAGAAGCACCCCTTCGGCTAGCACTAAATTTGGCCAGATCATGTTGTCGCTAACTGCATATCCATTCACTGTGGGCAAATGCACGAAACATGCTTCATGCACAAGTGCCAAGAAAAACAGGACAGCACCTCGATTGTAGAAAATCAGTGTTGCACAACCACATTCTACTCCGGGGTTGCAACCCGTACATTGGAGCATTTTTTCATGAAAGCTGTCCTGTTTTTGTCCCCGTCCTTGATGTTTTATCCTTTTGACTCTTTTTAAACTTGTTAACTTTTTATATGCACACTTTAGCACCACCAAAATAAAACCGCTAAGTATACACTACACAGTACTATAGTTACATCCTAAAAGGCAAGCAGAAGAGGATCTCGAAGAATCCGAGTTCATGGTTGAATTCTGACATATATTCACCCGGCGAGCCCAACTACCAAAATTAGAGGTGTGTGAATATGAATTATGCGACTGCAAATAGAGCCTACCGTAAAATTTCGAAAGAATGGCCATCCAAAATGAAGAGATAAACTTTATAAAAAAAATTAATGATAAACACCCTGGCACCACCCACAAACCATGTGACACGGGAACTGATACCGCAGATAGCAGACACAACAGATTCGCGTTTTACGGCGCGAAAGACTCGCGGAAACCTGACGAGAACTCGCATCTCACAGGAATCAATACCGCAAACCGCGTATGAAGCAGATTGAAGTTTTATAATGCAATAAACACGTGGGAACCCGCTACAAACTTGCCTGTCATGGGAACTGATATTGCATGCGCAGATCGTGGACAGAAATGCGGCAATCCGCTACAAACTCGGGACTAACTTGCGAGGAATCAAGATTGCACGCGCAGAACGCGAACAAGAACACACGAATCCGCTACAAACTTTATGTCGCAGGAACGGATGCCGCAGATTGCGGACGCAGCAGATTCGCATTTTATGGAGCAACATACAGGCAGGAACAACCCGCGTGTTACGGGAGCCGATATTGTGCGCGAAGATCGCGGACAAAAATGCTGGAACCCGCATGAACTAGCTTGTCAGACGTGCCGGTACAGCAAATTGTGCGGCTGATGCGATTCCCGTCGGACGTGACGCTTGACGGGAATCGTGGGGTGGGCGATGTTTTGGAATTTTTATGTTACAGATATTTAGCCAAAAAAACGGGATGGGCAATCTCTTGGGGGCGGGCATTCTCTCAGAACTTTACGGTAAATAATAAAAATTGACTGCAAATCACATAGAATATTTTCAAATATGAATATTTTACTACTTAACATGCATTGGGCGTGAATACTTAAATAAATCACAGATGGAAATTTTTTTCAGCAAACATTCCTATGAAAATAAACAGTTTTATCGAATGAAAAACATTTTACGCACTTGTATTAAGAAAAAAAAGGCCCTGGTAAGATGAGCTACATAAAACAATGTAATGTGTAAATTAAAGTAATGACAACCTTATTCAATTATGAGATTACAATCTTTTTTCTAAAACTGCTTTTTAATGTTGGGGGTTGAACTATAATTGGAACCAAAGATGGCCAACCTACAATAGTCGCAAATTTCCAAGACCGGAGTACCAAACAAGATGCTCCGTCGTGCTAAGGCCATCATAGTCACACCAATGCGTTTGACTACAACCAACTGAGACAAGACCTGTTTTTCAGCCTCTCGTGACAGCTTACGACCAACTGTGCAGCAGCGCATCCGGTCGTTAGCTGTCGCAAGAGGCTTAAAAACTGGCCTTGTCTCAGTCGGTCGTAGTCGGTTGCAAGTGTGTAAACGGGACTTTAGCCTCTTCCCCAAGCATTTCAGTGCAAAGCAGTGAACAATGTGCACCACGAGAGCGCTGGTGTGAAGCGGTGAAGCTTGGCGCGGGAAATGAGGAAATTTTGAGGACATTCTTGGTAATTTTCTAATATTAAAAAACTTAAATACTTCGAAATACAAAAGTGTGTTGTGCATTGAATAGAATAGCAAACACTATTCGCGAATTATTAGTTTAAAATATTTGCACACATCTAACGAAAATGGTTTCTGCTGAGAACGTTGATTTAATGCGAAGAGAGGATGAAGGAAGGGCACCGAACCACGATGCCGACAACCCCGGAATCCCGCTACACTGTCGCCTGAAGACCTACTTGTAAATGCCCGGGTAGGTGCTCCTCTTCTTCTCCTTGCGCAGGGCGTCCGCTTCTTCCGTCATCTGCCGGTAGAGCTCTCGGCCACTCATTTTTTCCTTCCTGCCCAGCGGTACCAGCTGCCGACACCAGAGAAAAAAAAAAAATCCAAGCATGAGACAGGCTGCAGAGAAGGCCGGACAAAGCAATCGCTAAAAGTTAACGCTCCCCTTAGTAACTACCTTCCTCTAAAAAAAACTAGAGTAAAGCAACTACCTAAGCAAAGAGTTGTCAGCAGGAGAAAGTTGAAGGAATGACTGTCATCTATTTGTTGCAGTAGCATCACTTTGTTTATTCATTCGTATAATTATCCATCCATTTTACAGCAATGGCTGTTATAGGACTTCTTAGCTGCATTTGTGGCGTTGGCGTTGTGCCTGGCAGAAGACTCCGTTTCACGTGCACTGCCCCGTGACGCCGGGCAAAGAGTGCGCACTTGGCTCTTGCCAGGCAGCAGTGTCTTCAACTTCTCCAGCTGGCAGGGGATGCCGCCATGCGGACCGCAAGTTTGCCTGCTTCTCTTGGAGGGGTTGCGGTGACACCAGAACGCCGAGCTCTGATTGGTTCTGATTGAGGGATAGGGGGTAGACCGCTCAAGGCATCCCGTTTTGAGGTCTACCCACTATCCTTCAATCAGAGCCAATCAGGGCTTGGCATTTTGACATCACCACAACCCCTGCAAAAGAAGCAGATGAACTTGCGCTCCGCATACATTCCTCGCCGTAGAACATGATTTCCATGTACTGTCAGACGGAGAACAACCCAACACTTGTAACATCACCAGTCACTAAATTTACCTTAAAATTCTGCTGAGCATGCAAAAATCTCCCTCTACCCTCTCCTATTCTCTTCCTCAATCTTCTTCCCCAAAAACTGTGTGACTCAAGAACATTTCAACATGTTACCCAACAAAGATCGAACAGCAGACGCCCCGCCGCTCACCCTCAGCTTATCCGGGTCTTTGGCGTCGTAGAGGACGTTGCCCGTGATCTTGGAGAGGTCATGGGTGGCAATTGTGGCTTCGGACCGCTTGACGCATATTGTGTCGTGCAGCTTGTTCTGCGGGCACAAAGACGCACAGAACGCACCTTTAGACCATTGAAGAGAGAGCACTCGGTTTAGAGCTACTGCGCTGTGTGACCCCGCCAACTTTCCGTCGTGGTGCACTGCTGGCAAGAATTAAATTACCATATTTTTCGGTCTATGAGTCACATCATTGTATAAGTTGCACCCCAACATAAGTGACTGTTTGCACATAAAAGTTGGTATATATATTGTGGCGTTACGTAACATAGTTAACGAAGCGCTGCGAACGATGGTGCGTGTAGTCGCTGCAGCCACAAACTATGCTGCCACCCTTTGGACCGTCTGTAGACTATCAAAAGTGCAGGCCATCAACAGGAGCTTTGCCGTTCCTGGTTTGTTGTAACTGCCGATGTGGCTTGCACCTTCAGCAGTTAAGGTTCATACTTATCAAAAAATATACATACAAGTCGCACCATTGTACAAGACACGCCAATGGAAGTTTGGAAGGAACTGCGGCTTATACACCGGAAAATATGGTATATTAAACTGTAAGCATGCAGCCAATGACACCAATATTTTTACATACAATCCTGCATTTAAAACACAGTTAGGAATGCTTATGGAGGACTTAGAAGTGCACTTGATTTCTGCCTTTATGCACCACAGTTGTTGGGCGAAAGAATTGTTACGACAAAAGATTTCATTCCCTCGGACTTCGGACAATAAATGAACAAATCTATAGACCGACACGCTGTTTACAAACAAGCCTGCGTTTGCCCACACCAGGTGTGAACACTGCGCGTGCGCAGAAACCGAATTCACATGAAGTGAAGAGTCTGCGCATGCCCCGTGCCATGACTGCGCCACCGCAGCTGCGTGACGTCAGGGCTGCGTGTTGGTCTATATGAGATCACATCACACACCCTCCTCATCCATAAATGCAGGCACAATGCTGTGAAGGACTAAATGACGACACGGAACATGAGCATAAGGAATTGCCCTTGTTGCTTTGGTTTTAAGCGCTGTACCATAAAACTAAAAATTAAAAAAAACCAGTGCCCAACCTTTTCTTTATTTTTTTTTTCTTTTATATGTAAAGCAATTTTATTAACACTTTAAATTGTCATAAATTTAAAGAAAATCCCAAATTCTCATAAATTCAGCATTTATTAGAGTTTCACTTTGTCGTTTATTTTTTTTTTTTTAAGCTAAAAATAAATAAAATCATACCAAAACAGGTACCATAATATCCTGAGCAATGCCTACCCCCGAAAAATAACCCGCCCCCTATTTTTGGCACGATTTGATTTTTTTTTTTTTTCAAAAACACCGAAAGATAGTTTATTTCCAGTAATTGTGGGGCCCTGGCCAATGGTGACCTTGGCAGAAATGGTGTCCCTTAGCCAATACAGAAGATAAGTGAACACTGCTGAATGGGAAGGTACCATATTTTCCGGGCTATAGTCCGCACCCCGTGTATAGTCTGCAGGGGCATATTTGGGGTCAAAAGTAAAAGTTCTTGCTTAGATAGTCCGCAGTTGGTGCATAATCTGCCTGCCGTGCATAGTTAGCACCTAGTGCTTAATTGACATGAAAATCTTCTCATGCACGGCACAACTTGACAAATGTATGCTTTCTTAGCTCATAAGGAAGCTTGTATTATACATAGATCATCATGAACATCTCTCATTTACAACATCAGTCACGTGTCCTCATAATGAGCAATCTCGAAAAACAAAATTCCTGTATACACCCTCTTCTACGTGGGTGCCGCCATGTTCAATTCTGGAACTTCCGGTATGCGTGAAAACATTGTTTTCTTCTCACCTCGACAGTGTTAACATTTTAATTGTAACCGTTAGTCGTTCTTGTTATGACACTTTTATAGTATTTTACTAGTTCGGGGTTGTAATCTCTTGCTTATTGTTCGGAACGCATACCGGATAGGGGGACAACGCGGCTGGGTGCGAGGCTAAACAAAAAAGGTGAATAGTCCGCACGCATAGATAGTCCGCACAGCCTGAAATTTCAACCTTTAAACACGTATAGCCCGTGGACTATAGCCCGGAAAACACAGTAAGTCAGTTTTGGTTCATAGCCCTTCCCTGCAATCACAAGTTTTGCAGGTCACAGAATCTAAAACTAGCATTTTGTCAACTTTTTTTATTGTATGCCAAAAGTTGGTCCACTCCTTATTTCCACCCGATTTGCTTTCGATTTTAAATAGGCTATCTCTCAGGATCTTATGGTAGAGCCATTGTGATTATGAATGATACACACACAATTGTATAGGACCATAGGATGCTCCCACTGTTATAAAAACAGGGGCTAATCCTCCATGAGAGTCAAAACTGAAACAGTAGTTAGCATAACCACATGCTTAGATTTGCTCTGTGCCAAGTCATGTCTATAAAAGCAGTGTACAAAAACTGCTCTCCTTCGTATCTCAACTTTGATTTATAAAATTCCTTGATTTGTGAACAGGTTTTCAAAGAATCAATAGGTACCGAGTTTTGGGATGAGAACACCTTTAATTATCATCCATTCGAGGCACAGAATGTCGACACGGCACTGAGACTGCTTAGATCAAGGGTATCAGACAATGCCTTAAATGTTCCATGGTAAGCATGTCTATAGGCTAAAGCTTAAGGTACTTCAGTTCTGGCAGTACTTAAATGTTTCGCCCGGACTGTGGGACCTCACGCTCTTCATCCGGCACAGTCTGGCAACGCGTCTCGTGTGTGCCATTAGCATTAGACATGTTTCTGGTAAACGCTGGCGGGTAAACAATGCTGTCACTTGGGACGCCGAAAAAACTATGAGGTCTTTCTGTACGCTCGGAAAGATGTCTAGCAGAGTATAGATATCTCTATAATCTTCCTAGTAAGGTCCTCCACAACCTGTTGGTTCCCCCTGGTTGTTCAGTTCATCCCTGGAAAGAAAAAAACTCTCCCCTAGCGACATTGCAAAGTTTCCGGGCCATGACATCAAAGGATCGTGGTTCTGCTGTGTTTGGTGCCAACTTCATCCCCCTTAAAATTTACCTTCTAAAATAAATTGCATCACCCTAGGCCATGGGCTCCCAAACTAAGTTTGCAGGAACCCAGGAATTCCTGGGACCTCTAGGGGTTCCGAAGCTCCCAAATTTATGGGACCATTTTTACCCCTAAATAAAGTATTTTGACAGTCTTAAGCACTATTTCAGCCGGTACGAACCATCCGTAGCTGCGTACCTATCAGCCAAACACCTCCCAGTACCTGCGTTACGATTTACTAGCTCTGTACACTTCTACACCGCTTTATTGTGTCAATGCCGAAACTAGGGCGTCTTCCTCGGCTAGCAGAGGTTTAAAGACGGGAGCAGAACGTGGCAAATCATAAGCGGCGATATCCACGGTCCCAAGAGAAAAAAAACGAGATGAACAGCGATAGAAAAGAGAAAGAAAGCAGATAAAAGGTTAGGCTTGACTGCTTTGCCATGACGAGTTCGAGTTGTTCTAGCGCTTGGCAACTTAGTTTCTTTTACAATGTGCAACGCCAGCACTTTCCTGCAAAACAAAGCTAGAAAACAAGTAGGTAGGTAGGTACGGACCTCGCGAGTGGTGTTTTGCCGTTTCTTTTGCCTTTCGTCGCAAGTGATATGGGCCACCGATGTCCGCGTCTATGCCCTGTCATTTCGAAGCGACCAAAATGCACGGGAAGCTGGTAGACCTTTTGTTTTTATAATATTATATAAACCCTATGTCGGCTACTAATTGAGAGAAATGGTGATTCTTTGAAACCAAAATGTTTGAGAATGCCTGCCCTAGGCCATAGATTTCTTCCTTTCAAACTTTAACTCAATTCCTGGCTTGACACTTAGATGGAAGAAAAGGGCACTTTTCGTTTACACCGTGTTATGCTGTGCGCCTAGGAGGTGGGTACCTGCAGGGCCAGGAACTTGCGCAGCCTGCTGTCCCTGTCCAGGAAGACCCCCCTGATGATGCAGCAGACGATGTATGGCCGCACCTCCTGCACGGCCTCCGTCACCACAACCACGGGACTGTGCGAGCTCAGCTGAAGCACCTCGAATGTGCTCAGCACCTGTGGGAAGGGGCCCCACGTCACTGCTAAGGATGTTGCAAACTTTTTTTAACCTAAGGTTTGACAGGTGCAGTGAATCTTCAAACTTTTAGAAACAGTATTCGACGAAGTACGACTTCTTCAAAAGAGCTGCTCGAGTTCTACGAAAAGTTAAACAAATTTTGGCGCAACATTTTTTGTGTAATAGCTTGTTCAAACGTTTCATACCCACATTTACACATCAAAAATATTTTTTTAATTCTTTAATTTGTTGTTAAAATGATGAAGCCCTCAACCACCCAGCAGTGCCAGTTCGTTTATTGTCGCGCATGCGTGCAATAGTTGAGCATTTGTCGAACTTTGAGTCCAAACTTTGAGACAAAAATCTAAACAGGTCAAACTCGAGCCTTGGCAAATTCCTGAAATCCCTAGTCAGCACCTACAAATACCTTTTCACTTGCCGTCCCTCCCCAAGACAACAAGGGCGAGAGAGAAAGCTCCTGCCTACCGTAGAATACCACAGATCCGGCCATTCCACACTACCGTAAAATACCGGGCAAGCGCCCACTCAAAATTTAAAGATAATCGCGAAAAAATGGGGAATGGACGCTTGTTCAGTCATCAATTTTACATATAAATGTACCGTGCATATTTTCTCAGATCTTAGAAATTTGGATATCAGCGCTTAATGTGGAATGGGCGGATGCATGGTATTCTACGGTAAGTGCCCATTCCCAAATTTGAAAGATCTGAAAAATTACGCACAGTACATTTATGTGTAAAGTTGATAACTGGACAAGTGCACATCACCCATTTTTTCACGATTATCTCCAAATTTCGAGTGGGCACTTTCCCAGAAGTTTAAGGTTCATGTCACTGCTCTCCTTAGTATAACGTGAATGAAATTTGTAACCAGTAAACAAGGCACCTGGAACTGCCAAGAAAAAGTTAGCTTGCAAAGGCTGCCTTGATGCTTCTCTCTGTCTGTTTCAAGGCGAGAGCACTCAAATTGGACGGCTAGACGACGGATCATGTGACTGCACCCTTGGTGTCTCTCATAAGGAAAGCAATCATTTGCTTTACATAAAAAGAATGCCTGCATCATGCTAACTTAAAACACATTCAATTTACATATACCACTTTATGCTTGTGTAGAAAGTGGAGTTATTCCTCACTCAATGTTTCTCAGGATGCCCTCTCAAAACACATACCAAACCAAACTGCCCTATTGGCGACGTCTGCAACCAAGACCTTTGCTATGGTCGGCCTCCAGTGATTGGCCAAGAGTTCACTATAACGTCTTTTGCAGGATTTATTCTGTTTCCATCGATGGAAATAAGACCAATGACAAAAAGTTTAGTTCCACAGTGATCCAGCTGAGCATGCGACGACTACAAGCTTCCATCATGCTCTTTATGCACACCATCAAACTTGTCATTTGCAACTAATGACACATAGCCACGATCACAACTTGTTACACCATGATGAGACAAATCCTGGTCGTGACATCAAGGGTAGAAACCCCAAGAAGGCCCCGTCGAAGCATCTCGGCACTAATACCAACATTACAATTTCTGCACTGGTGCCGGGCGGTGTGCGACTCACGAAAGCCTCTGGTTCCACTAGCACTGGGAGCAACATGCTGTGACCACCGACATGATGAGGACAGCAGGGGGGGGGGGGGGGGGGGGGTCCTTCGGTAGCCCCGCCTCCTGAACAGGCTTCCTACCTTCGACAACACTTTGTCGTCTTGTGAGCCTCAAACGTGCGCGCGCACTCGAAGCGCAATGTAATGTAAGGAGCATATGCTAAAGGCTATTCGGCGAATACTGAGTGTGTGTGTGTGTGTGTGTGTGTGTGATGGATGGCAAATAGCCATTTCGCGGACGATATAAGAATTTGTCAACAAATTCGGCAGATGACAACAGTGCGTGACGGATGACGGCTTAACATACCACATCGTTGGTAAGAAGAAAAAAAAATTTACAGGAAGATCTATTGGTGGATTTTCAGGCATGCTTCAGACTGGGCGATTTCTCCCAGCAACTTGACGTTGAACACCAACAACAAGGGCAGCCCGCATTCACATGCAGCAACCAATTGCTGAAATTTTCCATCATCATCATTAAATTTTATTTTTCTTGTGCTATTTAGATGCACAGTTATGTACTATAAACACGTTTTCATACCTTTAAATGGTGTTGAGAATACTAACTTATCTTTCTGAAATGGCTGATTTTCGAAAGCGATCAATTTCAAACCAGAACCAAGTCTTTAGTTATCATCACCGGCACGGGGCATCACATGAAAATATTGCGTCCCTGATTGGCCTGCTGCTGCTTCAAACGTCTTCGAGTTGCTCGCTTGTTTCGAGCCGAACCCGATATCAGCAATTTGTGTCGATCTAGGGGAAGCTAGGGAACAACGTGCAAGCAACCCCAAAATTGATGAGAAAGTTTCCCCGTCTGAAGCGGGCCTTAGGGAATGCATTAGCATGACCCTTGGAAATGCTACACAATTCCCACTTTGGGAAAGGCTAACCTTTCACCCTTTTACTTTTCTCTTTTGACTCTTTTTGCTTCCACTATTTTTTGCCGCCTCTTTTTGGCCTTGTTACAGGGTCAGTGTTAGCAATTCCCAAAGGGGGGCGTGTGCGGCGTCTTCCAAAGGTCATGCTAGCGGATTCCCTAAGAATCCACCAATGGATTTTACTGTAATTTTTTCACCCCTTTTCTGTACTCTACTTGTCAGAGTATGCCGACGCCCTAGGCTACGGTCATCCATATCACTCATGAAAAGAACCATATCTATACCACCCATGGAAAGAACCGCATCTATATCACTAGTGGAAGAAGCGGCGTAGACCTTCCATTTTCCCGGGGAGGGGGGCTGCTTTTCCACGCAATTTTTTTTACACCAGCAATTATCAGTAGTTTATTTTAGGGGGTACATTTTACAGCGTATGTATATCGCCATGTGTCCGTCGCCAATGTCAATCACCATACAAGCGTAGCCGTGTGTTCATCGCTGGTACCACGGCGTATGCGCTGGCGAGCACAAATCTTAAAAACAAAAAGCTTGTGCCAGCTGCGAAATTGGGGGGGTAGAACCCAGGCTCCTGTGCTTCTGAAGCAGTAATCCACTCGGCCACAAGTCTTTTCTCTTTAATACATGAAAACAAAACCTGCGGTACCAGGCCCTTGTAGAATGCACACAAATACACGCTGTCGGCTAACGAAAACACGCTGGGAATTAATTTCCCATGTATTTTGCCAATAAAGGCAATATGGACATTATTTTGCTTACATGTCACTACTAGAACCTCGTTACATGGCACGTAAACAGCGTCTCGGGAAGGATCATGGCCCGGGGGGGGGGGGGGGGGGGGGGGGCTCTGCCCTTGCCAGGATCTCACCCCGGGGGACACGAGCCCCGATGCCCCCCTGTAGTCTATGCCTATGCACACACATCACAGCCCACACACCACTACTATGGAAACCCAAAGCAAAGGACAACTGGCAGCGGCAACTGAGCATGCCCAGATTCAACTGCCCCACCCCGCGGCGCAACAGCTTCTGATAATAAAGGGGTAGTGCTGAATGAGATGGCGTCATCAGAGAAGGTCAACGCTGGGCACAGATTGGACACGACGACGATTGCGTAAACGTTCTGCTCAAACTTGACACCAAGTGCTGACATGGCACTCGTTTCCCATCTGTGTCCAGCGTTGGCCTTCTCTAATTACGCCATCTCATTCAGCACTAGGGCTTTGCTATCTAGGTGGTGTTGCGCGGCGCCTCCTCCTCTCTGGTTCCCCGCCAGCTGTGTGCATGACTTTGCTGAAAACGAAAGAGCTCGTTTTGACGAGAAAACCCGGCGGTGTCTGTCAGTTTGCCAGCGCCGGGGAGGAAGGTTGTGGCTGACGCGTGTTGACGTCAGCGCTTCGAACCAATAGGAGCATCGCACGCGTCACCCTCTCCCCGTCTTTCTTCCACTCTCCACGGCGCTCCCAAACGAAAGACGCCGCTGGTTTTTCGTCAACAAGCATTCTAAAATGCTAAAGCATTAAAAAGAGAGATAACGTAAAACGTTTTAAGTGCCCACCTCCTGCAAGTCGGTGGAGGACGCCGGTCCCTTCTTCTTGCCACCCTTTTTGGCCCCGCCAGACTTGCCCTGTCCCTGAACCGAAACCGCCTCCCTCGGCCCGTGGCTCTTGATGTACTCGAGCACCTGCTTGTGGTGGCACTGCTCCACGAGCTTCTTAAGTCTTTTGTCGCTCAGCGGGTTCTCCTTCAAGTGAATCTCCTTCAGCTTGGCGCAGTCGCCGACCTCGCCGGGTACGAGCTTCACGGCGTTGTTCGCCACGTCTAATGTTTTGAGCGACGGCAACGTGGCTGCCACTTTGGCGGGCAACGCCTCGATTCGGTTGTTGTTGGCCACAAGCTCAGTGAGGAAGTCGAACCGCGACTCCGTTAAGAAGGACGGGAATTCTTCGACTTGGTTATTCGAGAAGTTGAGCACGATCAGACGGTTTAGCTTGGAGAATTCGGCCGGCAGCGAGCGGAGCTGGTTGCCTGCGACGATAAGGCTCTGCAGCTCAGTTAGATTTGAGATTTCTATGGGCAGGTCTTCGATACGGTTCCTAGACACGTCCAGGAACTTGAGTTTCCTCAGCTTGCCCAAATCCGCGGGCAGCTTGGCCAGCTGGTTAGCGCTGAGCACGAGCCGGGTGAGGTTGACGAGGCGAGCGATGCCGTCCGGGATGGTCGACAGGCAGGTGTTGCTCACCTCCAGGAAGTTGAGGTGCGAGAGCGTGAAGACAGACACGTCGAGGTCTGCCTCCTCAATGCGCTTCGAGATGGCCGGGCCCGAAAGCACGAGTTCGCAGCGCTTTTCCACCCGAGCATGGTCCACTTCTTGCCATGCGGGCGCCATTTTGACTTTTCTGTTTTGAAACAAGCTTGGATTGGATTGGATATTTACGACCACAGAAAGTCTGGGGAGTATGGTCTCTGGCCACCTTGGGCAAATCTGGGACTAGAAAAGGGAAAAGAAATTCATCAATTATGAAGCTCAAGGCGCTATGGAACTGTAATATATATGAAGTGGTCAGAGGTATATGGAAAGGAGTGATGGTGCCAGGGCCCAGGGCTGTCTTTTGGCAATGCAGTGCTGTGCATGAAATCAGAGGTTCAATCAGGATTAGAAATTCGACAAAGAAGCGTAGGCAGGCTGGCACTGGGAGCACATGAAAAAACACCAAATGAGGGAGTACAGGGGGACATGGGATGGTCGTCTTTTGAGAGCATGCAACCTGAGAACAATCTTTACGCTCCGCCTCCACCCACAAGCACATTGCGCCCATCTGAAGTGCCTCCGCCGTCGAGAAAGTAGTTCGCTAGCAAAGTTGCTTTTTCTTCCTCCAGGAAATAACGTGTCCTAAACTACTACAATGCGGAGTGCAAGTTCGTCTGCTCTTTGCGCAGGGGGTAGCGGTGACGTCAGAACGCCGAGCCCTGATTGGCTGATCGCGACCCCCTATCTGAGCGTCGTCTGCTCCTTTGCAATGTCGTCTGCGTCTGTCTTGCCTTTCCTGCGACTTTCGGAAGTGCAGAGGCCAGATTCGCGACACAACCTTAAGCCAAAACTGTGCGTGAGACAAAACTTAAGAACAAATTCGTATTCACGAAACGCAAGTTTCGTTTTGCGCAGGTTACGACGAAATTCTACGACAGCTCCAAAGCTGTCTTACGCACTTCTTACGATCAAATCAGCATGGCCGACAGCGTCGCGGTCGCGACGACCCACGGACGTTTATTTTCCTACGTGCGCTTCTCACGCGTCCCGACTTCAAGCAGCAAGAAAAAAGTAAAAAAGTACTTAAAACAGACCACGGCGAACAAGAACGCTGTATGCACAAACACCCGGGAAAAGCTCCAACGGCCACGATTCCACCGAGCACGACCAAGCGAGCACGGCAGTTAGGCCTAGCAGGCACTCCGCGACTCGGCGACCGTCTGCCCACGACTGGCTGGCGTGTTGAATGGAATGTGCCCGCGCGACCCTTGTGAACCCTTCCCGTATTATACTTTGATCGCTGACCTCAATTTTAGATTAAAAGTGCAATGTCTTCCTCTTGTTATCTCCTTGTTCCCCGAGGCAACGGTGACTCTCGTCAGTGAAAAAGCGGTGAATCTCGGACAGACGCAAGAAAGGAAAAAGCAGCCATCGCTTTGACTAGCAGACGTAAAGCAGACGACCCGCCGACGCCGTTAAAGAATGAGGGGTCTCGCCGCACACGAACGGAGGGAAAAAGTATTTGGGAGGGAACTTGCGGACACTAACACGCTCACTCTCGGTTCTTAGCAAACAAACCTCGGTGCCTCAAGACATCTCGCCAGTGAGTCCTTTGACTTCCCTCCTTGATGCGCGCCTGCTAGTTGTTAGACAAAAACAACGTACCGCTCGAGTTATTTCGTCTGTCCTCTCTGAAAGGCCAAGTCGAGCTTGCTCGTAAAGACCTGCACTTCCGAATGTCGCAGGAAAGATGAGACAGACGCAGACGACTTTGCGAGCAGACGACGTTGCAAAGGAGCAGACGACGCTGAGATAGGGGGTCGCGATCAGCCAATCATGGCGCGGCGTTCTGACGCCACCGCTACTTCCTTTCTCATGCGCAGAAGACGAAAATGAGCCCACTTGCGAAGCGTATATTTATTTAATTCATTCAAGACATTTAAATAAGTTAGAATACGTTTTTGTCAACGAAATAGCTGTTTAGTAAAGAAAGAAAGTCATGTTCAATGTACCGTCTTCCCAATTCATTTTCTGTCCAAGATACTGTCTAACCAACCTCTCACCTCTCAGCCTCTCACCTCTCAGCCTCTCACCTCTCAGCCTCTCACCTCTCAGCCTCTCACCTCTCAGCAGTGCTAAGCCTCGCGCCCGCTTCGAAATATTCGTTGGCGATAGCGTCGCTGGATTCTCACGTTGTCGCGCAAAAACTGCTGCAAACGCAAGCCAATACCATTAAGATTTCGTGGCGCAACCTCGGGCACGTAAAACTAGCGTCGCGTTGCTAAGGCCAGCAACCATGTTAAGCTTTTTTTTTTTTTTTTTTTTTTTTTTTTTTTAAGGATTGCGATTGGTCCACAGAATCGTGACGTCATTAAAACGATTGGCTGGCGTTTCTCGGCGTAGGATTACATTTTCCTCTGAGAGGTATAAATGGACAAACCGAACCCAAAACTTACAAAAGAAAAAAAAAAAAAAAAAAAAGGGAGGAAGTGGTTGAGTGGGCTAACGCGTCTCAGCTCGGAGCGTGGAGCGAAAGCTTGCGCTGGGAACCTCCTGGGTTCGATCCCCACCGCCCCCGCCCGTTTCGATCTGGATGAGTTTCGTACCGGCACGCGTTCGTGTGATCACTACTGCGTGATGCACGTTAAAAATCCCAGGTTAGTGGTTGTACCGCACTGGCTAAATTTCTCATCTACAGCAAGAGACCGATTACCCGTTGAGGCGCATCTCCATCAAGGCTGTATAAACATAAAGAGCAAGCCAATTTTTTTTTTTTTTTTTTTTTGAAAGCTTACATTTAAATACTTACACACTGGTGATGGGGCTGAAGACTACTTCAGTGAAAAAAAGGGTTAAAGAGGCAGAGAGGAAAATGTGGGAAGAAAGAATGCAGGATAAACCAGCTCTAACAGTGTACAGGTCACGAAAGCAGGACATAAGAAACAAAAATTTGTTTGACAATTCAATAGGAAGTTCTTCACTGTTTGAGATGAGAATGGGTGCTTTGAGGACGAGGACGTATAGGGCTAAATTTCAGGAGACAGACACATTGTGTGCTGCCTCCCATAATGAGAGCGAGACACTAGAGCACTTTGTTTTGTAGTGCATGGGGCTTCGCCCTGCCCTCCCTGATGGGGTAACAGATTTGGCCCGGGCCCTTTAACTGACGACGATGGAAGGACGGGAGAGAAAAGGATTACAGTGACAAAGAGGCGATTAGAAGATTGATAGAAATTATCTAGGGAAAATTGAATGATGCATAACTAAGTAGCACAGCTGGGGACAGGCGGGACAGAGAAAAATTAGGACTCCCTCCCGCGTTGCTCCGGCCCAAAGTCTCAACCCTGTCTCCCAGTGGGTCCGGTGCGGTGGTAACGCCGACAAGGTCTGACCAGAGGAAAATTGGCGACTCCCTCGCCGGGGGGAAGAGGCGAGGGGTGATGTTTTTAGTTTTTTGACCGATCCCCCAAAGGTCATCCTGGTGATATCCCACATTCATACCTCGGCAAACCTCACTCACGAGGGCCCTCACTCACCCTCACTCACCCTCATCTTCACAGGTGAGGTGAGGGTGAGTGAGTTTCTGAACCAGGAAACTTCATGAGTGTGAGGGTAAGTGAGGGCCGTGAGGGCCGTGAGGGCGGTGAGGGCCATGAGGGCGGTGAGGGCGGTAAGGGGTATGAGGGCCATGAGTGCGTGAGGGGCGTGAGGGCGGTGAGTGGCGTGAGGGCCATGAGTGCGTGAGTGGTGTGAGGGCGGTAAGTGCGTGAGGGGTGTGAGGGCCATGAGTGCGTGAGGGCAGTGAGTGGCATGAGAGGCGTGAGGGCCGTGAGGGCCGTGAGTGCATGAGGTGTGTGAGGGCCATGAGTGCGTGAGTGCGGTGAGTGCGTGAGGCCCCCTTTAGATCGAGCATCTCTCTCAGCCATTTTGGTGTTAATGGCGGGTTGTTCTCTAGCTTTCCCTAGATCGACACGAATTGCTGAGATCGGGTCCGGCTCTAAATAAGCAAGCAACTCGGAGCAATTCGAATACGTTTGAAGCGGCTGCATTCAATCAGGGACGCAAAATTTTCACGTGATACCTCGTGCCGGTGATGATGACACCGAAATACTTGGTTCTGGTTTGAAATCGATTGTTTTTTGGAAATAAACTCTTTCAGAAAGGCGCATTAGTATTCTTAGCGAGATTTAAATGCATAAAAACACGTTTATAACGTGTAATTGTGTCTAAATAGTGCAAGAAAAATAAAATTTTATGATGACGATGGCAAATTGCCGTGAGGGCGGTGAGGGCCGTGAGGGCGGTGAGTGGCGTGAGGGCCGTGAGGGCGGTGAGGACCGTGAGGGCGGTGAGTGGCGTGAAGGCCGTGAGGGCGGTGAAGGCCGTGAGGGCGGTGAGTGGCGTGAAGGCCGTGAGGGCGGTGAAGGCCGTGAGGGCGGTGAGGGCGGTGGGGGCCGTGAGGGCGGTGAGTGGCGTGAAGGCGGTGAGTGGCGTGAGGGCCATGAGTGAGTGAGGGGCGTGAGGGCCGTGAGGGCGGTGAGGGGCGTGAGGGCCGTGAGGGCGGTGAGTGCGTGAGGGCCGTGAGGTTCAGTGAGGGTGAGTGAAGGGCTGAAGGTGAGTGTGACTGTGAGGGTGATGGTGAGTGAGGGGCTGAAGGTGAGTGTAGCTGTGAGGGTGAGGGTGAGTGAGGGGCTTAGGTGAGTGTGGCTGTGAGGGTGAGGGTTAGTGAGGGCGACCTAAAATGCCGACCTCTGCCCACACTACGTGGTGATAGTTAGGGGGTACAAATTTGTCTTAGATGGGCGCAAGAAATCAAATCAAATGTTTGTCTTTCTTAGACTTAGGCTAGGTGGCGCAAGCTACCACCCGCTACAAAGGGTATAGCCAGTAACATCAGAGCCGTAAATGTAGAGAGTTTGGCCATTCGTTGGGAAGTATAGCACCTATAGAAGACAAATGAGGAGGCGCCATTGGCCGAAAGCGGGCTGGGCGTGTTCTAGGGCGTCTTCAGAAATTCGAATGTGACCAACCAGAAGCCGGAAATAATACCCTGGCGGTGGTCGCGAGAAACAAACCTGATAACTGCATTGGAGTAACTCTCAATGGCTGAAAATATGGTACACGTGATGTTTCAATCACGTTAATCCAAAATGATGGTGGAAGAG